TGAGCTATTACCAGCAGAAAGTCAGTTTAACTTGTCAGTTCTCAGCAAATTTGCAGCACTTAATTAGGGAGAGGTGGAGCTTAACTTTCTTAGAAGAGCTCATTTGAGGAAGCTCCTCTTATGTTCCTTCTAGTTAGAAATTTTGAATCCTTCCTCACCAATCTCCCCTCTCAAAAGCTAGACAATTTAAAACTTTTTCAGCTGAAATACAGAGATCTGACAAACTACGGAGAGCAAAACTATCAAAAAGTGTACTCCAAGTTTTCATGCCAGCTTATAAAAACTAAAGGGGCATAAAATTCTGATACTGCTGGTGTCACTTTTGAGCACCAGATGTTGAGAAGTAAGCTTAAATTTTAATTCTAACATCAGGATATGACCAAGAATCTCTCTTCATCTCAAGTGTTTTAACTCGCCCACTTTCCCAACAGCAATCACAAGTCTATGACTCACATACTATACCAATACTGCAAATTAAAAGAAAACGTTGTTCCTACTGCCATTCAGCCAAAGGTACTCCCACAGCTCTCCAGTCACAAGAGACTTGAGTAAGTCTGCCTTCTAGAGTGAAATGCTGTGGTCTCTGTTATGCAGGATGAACTATGGTATCATAAGTTTTACAAAAACATCAGAAGCTGCTAGAGAGTTGTGTACCTCGAGTCTCTGATATGGTGCAATGAGAGAAATTATGAGTGGAGCAGATAAAATTCTGAAGTATAACAGAAGATTTTGAGGGCACCTTCAGAAGCAGGTGGTAATTGGTAGCATTAAAAGGAGAGGTCAGTACTCAAGTTTCCCAAATATCATCTGGTTTTCAACTTTCCATACATAAAATAAAAATAAATAAAATATGCAGAGGATGCTAATGGACTTTGCTAAAGTTCTTTGGTGGTGTAGTGGTGAAGTCTTCTGAGGAGACCCTGGGATGCCCTATGAAAGAAACTGGATAATCTTAAAGCTTATGAAGAATAAAAATCAGATGATATTTTGCATCACAAATGCAGAGTTGTGTCCTGGATTGGTAACAGCAAATTCTCTTGTTGGCTAGAAAGTTGATGTTTATAAACAAATATTGATGAGAAAACCCTGGTCAAACACAGTATGACAGTGCTATTAGGGGTGTCCAAGGGAATGTAGGTGCCATTACAGGAATGGAGTGGAGAAGAGTTTGGTTCTGTTACTTTAGCAAAATAAAGGCTGGGAAGGGGGGATATAGCTGCTTTTTACATGTACACTAGGAGTAAGCACCAGGAAGGTTAAAGGCTGTTTAAGCTGGTCCTTAATTAAGCAACTTAATGATGACACAGGGAAAAAAAATACATTCATGGTTTTGGTTTGGAAATTAAAATTTATTATTGGTCAGAGAAATTAACACTAGCTCCTAAATAGGAGCTAGAAACAAGCATTGTGAATCTCAGTTGTTCAAGGTGCAGGAAATAGATTACATACAATGCCAACTGCCTTGTTGATAAAATAAGCAGATGGCAGTTCCCCATGTGGCTCCTTTTTTTTCTTTTGTGCTGAAAGTGAATTTACAAGAGATGGTTGAAGGGAGTTATGCACATTTTTTTCCCACAGCGTTTATTGCACTAGCACATTAACCAGTAGAGAGTCTCCATGTTTATCTATCAGGAAGAGAATATTACAGATGCCCATCTGATGTGGCCAAGTAGATCTACTGAAGTCAGAGCAGCTCTCTCAGATCCTATGAGCTCAAAATTTGTCCTGTTCTCTTTGGGAAGAAAAAATTGCCCTTGTCATTTATTATTAACTGGTAATCTTTGTGATCCCAAGAAATGTATTCCAGGCTCAGCATAGACATCCAGGCCTCACTGAGGCCATCGTTAGGCTTGCGTTCAAATTTCAAAGGTTTATCAATTCTTGCAAATACACATAGGGCTTCATGCCTCCTCTTGCTTCCTGGGAGTTAGCAAGATGCTAAAAGAATGACTGGCCTATGAATCCTGTTTGCTGCGACGTAATTTTGTATGCAGGGAAAAGGGTAAGCAGATTAGATTCAGGTTGTGATGGATAGGTTAATAGAAGTGAGTGCAAGCAAAACAGAAGTTTTTTTTCCCGGCATAAGTAAACAGAGGAGGGAAGTCTACTGGAATCCCCTTCATAGTTTTTTACTCTAATGAACTTGTCAGGAAGAAAATGATTTATGAGACTTATAAATTTCTTCTTCACGCTGAATATGCATTTGCTTTATCAATGTTCGGACTGTGAGTTGTAGTAAAGGAGAAGGAGGGAGCCGCTCCTCCTAGCCAAAATTTCCTCTGCTTAATCAAATCTAATATCCTAGTAGCTTTTGTAAGCTAATGCTGCACTGCCCATCTACTCTCACCATAAGGCTGGGCAAGGATTTGACTTTCCGGAACTGCTGATCAATGCAGTTGCTAAATTTACTTCAGGTACAGGGCAGCAATAAATTCTTATAATTTTAGAGCTAGAAATCAAACCACTTATTAGCTTAAATGTCCTGCAGCACTTGTAAACCCATCTGAGTTTATGACCTATTCTTTGATCCTGTGTGCACTTTAGATGTCTGTACCATATTTACCACCCTCATCTTTGACAGGAGTTTGAAAGCAACATCTGCAAGCAACATCTTATTGGGCTTGCGTAAGTCAGGACAGGCAATTGAAAAGGCCTGTCCTAGGAGAGGAGATAGGATCTTTTGTGTAAGAGCCACTAGAAATTTTCTGTTAAGTGTTAAAGAGCTTGAAGTCCTCTGCAGCTCTGCAGAAGTGCTTTAAGTTCTAGTGAAGTCCTGTCTTGAAATATCTTCTGCAAAAAAAAATTTACAACAATGGGACCATAATATAAAAATCCTCAACAACAACAACAACAAAACCAACAAAACAAAAATCCCCACCAAAACAGCAAAACCACAAAACCAAAAACCCCAGGAAGAATGGGTAAATTTTCTATCTAGAAATGCTTAATTATTTGAAAAGGAAAAAATCTATATATTTTTCTCAAGTGTAATTTCCAGTTGAGGGGCTAAACTCACCAAGTGAATTGAGAACTCGCCCCCATTACTTTGATGTTATAGAAATCAGTTTGTTTACTTGGCACAGAGGTGCCTGAATTTCAGTTGCATACGAAACTGCCTGCACTCTGCAACTACTGAGTTCAGTGAGGCCTGACTCCTGTTTAAGACTTGGAAAGATTTTCAAGAAAACAGAGCCCTTCCCTTCTTCCTAGCAAAGAGTTATCTTGTAATTACTAAACTGGCTGTCATGCAATGAACAGATGACTATTTTAAGCCAGATAAGATATGTCTTCTACTAGTCCAGGTTGATGAGCAGATCTTCTACTAGTCCAGGGATTAGTATGTTCACCCAGATAGTTGTATTCTGTCAATAGTGAAATGAAGACATGGATCTATCTGAGGGATAACTAGAGATACTGTGTGTGTTCAAACTGTAGAAGAGCGTTACCACAGTCTACAAGGCAGTGGACACCGATTGCCCTCATCTCCTACAAACACCAGGAGGAAGAGAAGACACACATCTTGCTTTTGATCAGGACCTGTGTATGTACCCAACATACAGGATTAACAGCAGATCATTTAACACATGGCTGTTCTTGGCACAGTTCAATTTCCAAAGCAATTTCTCAAAGTGCTGGAGGTGAAGGATGATAACACCTTTGCTGATTGTCCCTTGCTGAGCCATAAATTGACACTGATTGTGAACGAGGAAGGTCTCTGGTAATAGCTTGACCAGGTGGCAGCAGCCATAAATATGTAGGAAAGAAAGGGAACATCTCCTGACAAGCCTGTTCTCTCCAGAGCAAAGTTGCAGCACTTTTTATTAGTCACTCCTTTAGATAATTAAGAAGAGGTGATATTATCCTGCTGATTATTTGTCTGTATTAGAGTAGTTCACACAGAAATAATCGACCCTGCTACCTGATATCCCCTCATACAATCACTATTTTATCTTCCATTTTGATGAAAGGATATTTGTTCTTAAAGCCCGTTTTTACAGTGATAACTGTAAAATAGCTGCCTGCATTTAAAAAGATCTAGAGAAAAGCTTCAAAATGCAACTCAACAGCAGTCTGCAGGCCTGGAAAAGCAAATAAAGAATCTAAGCTTTATTACTAATATTTTAAAATCTTACATGTTTTGAAAGGTTGGTCTCCAAGGCCAGAAATTATCAAGTTCAACTGCTAGGACCTAAAAGTACTGTATGCGCTCTGTTTTGTGAGATGACTATTTCCTATGTTGGCCAAGACTCTTCTAGGTTTATTGTAATCTTTTGATATAATCTCGAAGTGATGCATTAACCATGATGGAGGATAGCCTTGAACCAGAAGCACAGAGGTTGCAACAAGGAAGAAAATTCTTGATCAACCAACCACTAGCCAAAACTGACTTCTTCTTCTTTCTCTTTTTAACAATTTGTCTTTCCTTGAAACAACTGTGTTATGTGTGATAATGAGAGACCTTACAGCAATTAAAGGAATAGCATCCTGGCTGTTGTACCCATGGATGTGATCTGTGGAAGGTGGTCAGGTTTTCTCCTGCCCAGGGCCTCTCTCAGGTGCCTGTGGACATTGTGACTTCCTCATCAGCACCACTGGGAGGCTGGCCTGGGTGTGGGTTATTACACCCCTTGTAACCACCTGAGGTCTATCGGGGACAGTCCCAGCCTGATAAGCAGGAGGTCTGTCCCTCTGCCCCGGGAAGAGAGGATGGAGCACAGCTGTGCCCTAGGGCCCTTGTTGCCTGGCAACAGCAAGGTCCAGCCACTTTGCTGAGGGTCCGCCTGGTAGCCATGATGCGGCCTGCTCCATCACCACAGCGCTCTTGTTCTCTGCGGTGGCACCGGCCACCCTCACCGCCCGCAGAGCTTGGGTACGTGTGCACAGGGCCTGGGGGCTGCTGAGGTGCCTTCTGCCCCAGCGCTGGGAGGGAGGGCTGGTCTCCTTGGGACAGTGCTGGGTTGGCAGAAGCAGGGAAAGACCCAAATCTTGTATTGTACATATATTTTCTACTGTGGGAATGTGTGGGGCCAGGGCTTAATAGGGAGGATGGTTATTATTTTACCTTACCATTTTTTGTCATTTTAAATATCTGCTTAAGAAAACATGGCTAATGTTATCCTCGTGGCTGCAGTGTCTGGGGGCTTTCTTATCCTGTTTACCTGGTTTGCTGGAGTTAGTGTAGAAGACACAAAATCTGAAGGGAAGAGTCACTGCAAATGTTTGATGGGGAAGGGCCATGTGTGGGCCATGTGTTTCTAAATGAGCTGGCTGCCATGGTTATTAATGCATTTCCCCCTTGTCTCTTTGGTTTTGCTATCACATATGGGACCATCTGGTTCCTCTGTGGGACTCCCAAGACTTTCTGGCAAGCACATGCGTGAAGATGTCTAGGGTTTTTCCTCTTCAAGCCTTTCTACTACATCTTATTTCTAGAAACCCTGCTTAAAAAAGTTTTTGTGGGCAGTCTCTACCTGTAACACAAACCTTCTCACTGTCACCAGTGCTGACACTGCAGCACAACGTTGAGAAAAGTCCTGCTTCAACTACAAGTCTGGTGTCACATGAAGAAAGCAAATGCACTTTGCATGGTGCTTCAGGAGTTGTGACAGGTGGTGTGAGACAGATGCTTGAGGTCCCCTCAGCCTCTGAGGTGAGCATGTGGCATGGCAGAAAGAAATCTAAACTATGTTTAAAGCACAAATTCATCCCCCTCAGGTCCTGAGAGGTTACAAGCCCTTGAATTGTCCTGAATGTTATTTTTTTTCCTGTGTCATATCAGACAAGAACCTGTTTATGGAGATGTTGGGCTTTCTCAGAAGATAAATGTGACCTATAGAATCACATTTATCACAGTTTCTCTTGTAAGAAATATAGCCTGCTTTCAGGGTAGTTGGATGGATTACAGAAGTGCAAAACTGGAACAATTCAGCAATCAGAACTTGTTGTGAAGAAGATCAAGTAACGACTAAAACCAGAATAAATTTGCTTTAGAAGGAAAGATTAATCATCATGCAAGAGAACGATTGCTTCAAATGTAAGCAAAGAAATTGCACTATGAGTAATGAAGTTAGCCAGACAAAAAAGCACCAAATAAACTAAGTACCAAGAGATGCATTTCAAACAGATTTTATATGTCTCTGAAATACTCCTCTTTGAGAGCTAGGAACAGACATGTATTACAGCTGAGCAGCCTCTAGGGATGGATTCCATGCTGCTGGTGGACACTGCCTCTGGTTAGCATTTCACATTTTCCAATTTCAGAACATTCGAAACTTTCCATCGCTGTCAAATCTGTTTAATGGAAAGATATTCTTGTCTAACAAAACTGGTCTATTATAGATAGCGAGGATTGGCCATAGTTTATGGTTATAGACGTATATCACAAAATATTCACTTCTGGAGGCCTCAGCTGTCAGACTAAGGACTGTATGGAACTAGGGCCTGAGCTTTCCTGTTACATTTGAGATTGGTTGCAGGGCATTATCTCAACTGCTTGGTTTGAAAGGCTGTATGAATATAATGTCCCTCAAAGAACTTATACCCTAGAGGTCACAAAAAGGTGTACACAAATGAGACAAATGGTTTGGGGTGACATAAGCTGTAGCATAAGATCTAAGATGATGTGGAAACACTTCACCAGTAAATGTCTGTGGTCTTGGTACTCTGCCCTCCTGGCCACTGTAAGGTTGCCGTTCATCCCAAAAGAGCCAGGGGGGTTGAGGAAGGATTCAGGTGGACAAAGCAGTGACTATAGGTTTTGAGAATGTGGTATGCAAGTAGTGCTCTACTGTGCTGGGAGAATAAACTGATGCTGTTCCGCAGCTGGAAGTTTGTGCTGAGAGGCACTGAATGAGAGATGGCAGGAGGGATGAAAAATGGATAGCTGACAATTGTTTGCATATCACCTTGATGAGACAAAAGGCTGGCTGGATTTTGTAGCAGCATGTAGGGAAAAACGCCAAGACTTTTCAGAGGCATTTTTAATTTTTTTTTTTAAATAAAAACTCTGTATTTGGGAAACCTGTATTTCAGTACTTCACTAATGTTAGTTCAAGTCTGGCATTTAGTTTTGGTTTTATAAGAGGCATAGAAGGCAACTGAAAATGTCTGAATGCTTTATCTCAACTTTTTTCTGAAGGAGATATTTCATCTAGGAAATAGAGGTTTTGAGAGAGCAAGTACAAAAGTGGAGAGAAAATTAAATAGATAAAAAGAAATCAAAAGAGGGTCTGGAAGAGAGAAGATCTCAAGGACTGAAAAAAAGTCTTCACAAGCAGAACTTATATTAGATATTAATACTGATTTTCTTTTATGCCCAAGATGCCTTAAATTCTGTTGTTTATGAAAAAAATAGCTCATAGTTCTGTTGATTCTAAGATGGTAAAAAGACTGTGGTTTCAGACTACTATCATTAGAAATAATTGTCTAGAATTATTACGAATTTGTGAAGCTTGGGCAAATTCTGCTCTTATGCCACCCACTCTGCTGTTTGCCACATACATAGGCTTGTTTTCTGCCATCTCTCCTGCTCCTAACAGAAAGTTACATACTGGTAGGTGCTCATCATCAGGCCTGAAAACAGGCAAGTAGGGCAGAAGCAGAGGCTGCACCCGACCTTTCTTCCCATCAACTCCAGATAAAGGTCCTAGTGAAATGGGTCAGCTGCTAGTTTGCAAACAAGTTAGTATGTCAAATTAAAACGAGAGCTCGCTGAGTGCCTTGTCTTCACTACAAATTCACTTATGCCTGGATTTACAAATTTTCTTTTCCCCCCTTTCTGTGAGGATTTAGTCTCTGTTACAAAATCAGTATATAAAAAATTTCATGCCACTGTAACAGGTACAATAATCTTTTGGATGAATTCAAATCCTTGCAATTATTCTTTGAGCTCAAGATAAATTAAATTTAACAATACAAAGAGTAGCTTCTGGAATAATGTAAATCTCACTTCAGGCTTTGATGAATCCGGATTAGTATTTTTGGTTGGAAAGAGACATAATGAAGCCATGACTGCTTTGAAAAGTTCTAAAGATTAGCTACACCCTGCTTAAAGGGAAATTATTTTGACCCATAGCTTTTACTTCATCTTAATAACCTCTGTAAACTTCTCTGATTTACTCTTTTAAAAGATTAATGCTGCAGATATGAATTTGGACGGATTTTGTGACTGAAAATTTTACCAGGTCCTGTGGACTTCATATGCCGCTCTTCCATCTGCTTTTCTATGCACCAGAAAGAGGAGTGTGAAAGATGCTGACCTACTTTAGAACAAGGGAAAACAGATTTAGCAAATAATTAGAAAATAACTCCTCCTCTTTCAGAATAATTCTTGCAGAACGATGGAGCAATATTTGAAGATTTAAAACTACATTCTAATTTCATTTAGAAAAACACTTGAAAAATGAAGATATTTCATTCAGTGGGGAAACTGTGCAGTGTCTTGAAGGTACTATTGCTGCTATTAAGAAATTGGTAAGAAAGATCTAGTATTTAGTTTCCAATACATGGGAAAGGATTAGTTGATAACCATGTAACTACTCTTTTACACTATTAGAAGTGTTCTCTTGTGTGAGTTACAGTCTACCTTTAAGAGAGAGACAGGCAGTTTGGAGTGAAGTTGGTGGGTGCTTGCATGCACTTTGCTAGCTGCAGAAGTCTGGCTATGATAGAACAAGCCAACCTGACTAGTTTAGATACACAGTTGATCCAAGCCTTAGCTCACCTGCTGGTGTTTTGATGCGGGAGCAGTAGATGCTGTTTACACTAGGTATTAGTGACATTTTAGGCATATCCAGACTTCTGTTGAAGTAAAAAGAGAAAGGATCTTACGTCTAGCAGATTAAACTGGGACTTAGGGTTGAAATTTTGTTCCCAGGTCTATCGTGTCTTCATAGTTTGTGTAAGAAGTATAATCTCTGACCTTACAGTGACTTAGTAGGAACATCACAAAAATCACTTGAAGGTAAAGGCCTACTTATGTAGAGACTTTTACGTCATAAGGGCTTTAATGCCATCAAGTGCAAGGGAGAAAAATCATGCTTCTCTCTCAGGGCTGCTGTGAGGATACACCCGCTAGTGTTAGTGCATTCAGCAGATGGTACAGACTTCATCAGGCAGGTGGTTTGCCCTATGACTAGGTGCAAAAGGATTTATTTTTTTTTAAGAGTTTGTTTTTCCTTGAAACAATTGCATTATGTGTGATAATGAGAGATGTTACAGCAATTATGAGCTGAGGATGGCTGTTCATAGGTAGCTAACTTTTGCTGTAAGATTTCTGGAGCCATTAAAGCCAGAATGGCTTCAAAGACTGTTTTAAAAGTATCTCCATAATGTATTTGTTTAGGTAGATGTAAATCTTGTAAAACTTGACTTTCTCTCTCAGGAGACCTCTAAATCATCAGTTTCAGGCCATCTCTGCATTAGTCTATCAGATGATTGTTTTATGTAATGTTCTGAAATCATAAAGTTTTCTTTTTCTCTGTTTCAGCTAATTGAAGATGTAACCCATATGAAATTAAAACCTTCTACACATTTATTTTACACCTCTAAATATTTCATCTTCTCAAGGAAATGAGAATAATTTATATGCATGCATATAGAATTTGCTCTAGAGACAGTAAAATTCAAAAGTGTATTTTCTTCTCACAGTGTCTCAGCTGGTGATTGCAACTGCTGGCGAAACCAAAGGAGAAAGATAGGAGTGGTTTTATGCATAAGTTGTGATGCCAAAGTCAACATCCACTTAAGAACCGATTTCCCAGACATTAGGGGCTTTAACTCACCTACAATTCTCAGTCTTTCAGATTTGGGATTCATTTGTTGGAGGGCTTCTCCCACAGTCCGTTCAGTCTGTTTTCTCTTGCTCTGTCTTCACTCTAAAAGTGACCCTTATCATACTATTAACCATGAACCAGAAGATTACTTTCTAGCATGTCTCAGGGCCAGTTACAGTCTCCCTTCTTCAGCAAAGCTTCAGGACATAGGGCAATGCAGTTCTCTGTTTCTTAAATAACACCTTTTGTGCACAGTGGCAGAAGCTGACAGTTGAGACCTTCCTGCCAGCACAGCTTTTATAGCAGAGATGTAGGTAACAGACTCCTCAAGATTGTTGCTGGTCAGAAGCCAGCAGTTCCTGGAGATGCATAGATTTGTTCAGCTACCTGTAGAACAAATTAATTGTTATTTCAAAGAGTGAAAGAAAAGAGAAAAGAGAGCAAGTAGGAGGAATGGGAATGATATAGCTAGGCATGGAAAATACCCAGTATCAACTAACTAAAAAAAAAAAAAAAAAAAGAAAAATAATGGTTTCGTAAGGAGAAAGTGCTTTTTCATCTGTTGTACTACTTGGTTCTCACTAGTGGATTTTTTAATTGGCAGGAAGAAATTCGAAGACATACCCTTGAATGCCTAGAAGAGGAGACTATAAAAAACAGCAATCTTTGCTTCAGAATACAGAATTTTTCAGGAGAGAATATTGAAGAGATGACAGGTAGTATTGACTTAAACAGCTCTAAAAACCTCCCCTTAAGAGAACTGAATTTTCTATGAGTTTCTATGAGTTTCTGTGAGCTTAAACAATTTGAAGTATTCTATAAAATAAATCTTACTGCTAAAGGTAAATCACTTTCTATAATAACTTATTAATGGATGAAGATAAGTGTTTGCTGATGTATGATACTGTGAGGGACTATTCTCTCACATAAGTGTATAAATTAGAGATACCTGCACTGGAGACCATGCACAAGCACTACAGGAATGACTGGAGAAGTGCAGCATTCAATCTGGATCCCAGCCATGCCACAACCTTTGTCTGATCCTTGAGATGGAGCACTTGAGTGCTCTGTGCTGCAAATTCCCCTGTTCTGAAGCAGGGGATGCTTATCTGATGTGACATTACTTTTGGGTGGAGTTCATTTTGCAAATGATTATCAACTGTCTCTTGTAGACAGTGAAGAGAAAGAGGCGTTTCTAGGCATAGAATCATAGAATAGTTTGGGTTGGAAGGGATCTTCAAAGGTCATCTAGTCCAACCCTCTTTTAATGAGCAGCAGCATCTACTAGACCAGGTTACTCCACACCCAGGCACATCCAGTCTGGTCTTGAATGTCTCTAGGGACAGTGCATCCAGCACCTCTCTGGACAACCTGCTCCAGCATTTCACCACCTTCACTGTAAAAAATGTCTTCCTCATGCCTGGTTCATCTCACTCCATAATAAATGTTTTAAAGCAAGTCAGAAGGATCATGGGCTAGAACTGCTTCTTTCTCTCCACTGAAGGGAGGCTAAAGCCTTAGGTCAAATGTAGGTATCTGGATGAAAACAAACTTTGAGCTCTATTTCTCTTTTTTTTTTTTTTTTCTCAGATATGGCTTTACTTTTAAGATGACCAAGGCATATTCTGCTATCACCCCTCTATTTGCACTGTAGTCGTAAAGCAAAGCAGTCAGTTGATCTAGATGAATGCTTGGATTTCTTCTTTTTTGTGAGAAGTAAGGAAGTTAGAGTTTTTTATCTAGCTAACCATGAGCTAAGTATGATTGTTAGTGGTGGCACAGGAGGAGGGATGGCAGGGTCACCAGGGAGAGTAGGACTACTCCTTTTAGAGTATGATGGAGTTAGATCAGCTTTAGGTTCATCATGAAACAGCAAACAGAACTTCCTCTTCCCCTCACTCATCTCCTTTCAGTGTCTTTTCCTTTTCCCCCCAGATACATTCTATGTTTGTTGATTACTTTCTTGTAGCCGATTTCCTCCCTCACTTTCTCTTTGCCTACAGCACGTGGTTGCTGTGCAGTTAGTTGTTTATACTAGCTACTCCCATTCTGCACTGCCTAAGTGTGTTTGCATGGGTGGATGCACAGTAATGTTACTCTTCACTCAGCAGCTGAAAAGGTGCTGTGGTACAACACCCATGCACAGAAGAGCATTATCCACAGAGCCTCTTCATGCAGGCTCTTCACTTCCACACAGCAGTGGCTCTTCTGGGAGAAATGCTATTCAGTTTCAAGCCAGGTGATCCTGATTCTTATCCCTGGCTGCCAGAGCTGGTTGTGCAGATCACTGGGGGGGAAAGGAGTAATTTTTATCAGTTCACTATATGTTTAGGAAATTTCTTAGACATATAGTAAGAAAAAGAGCAATTATTCTGTGCAAACGCATCAGGCTGTCTCTTGTTGGTAAATGCAGTTGACTCAGGGAAAATGTGATAAGATGAAACTATCAAAATAAAGTATGCAACTTCAGGGATATTAGTGTCTTAGAATCACAGCTGTCCCTTTCCAGGTGACAATACTAATAGTAGTGAATTAAAGATTATGGATCAATCACTTAATGTACTATTTTCTGTATGTTTTGTATTTACTTTTTAGCTCTTGTCACTGCTGCATGTGCATCTAGTGCTGCTAGGATACATCAGCTGCTGTCTGCATTGGAAAGCATTGCTTATAAAATTGAATTACTGACTGAGAAGCAAGCCCTTTGTGAAAGACAGAATGCTGAACTGTGGTATGTATTAATTTGAACAAGCGAAAAATAAATACTGACAAGATGATTAAGGAGAATTGAAATGTTACCAAAGCATGGTAAGTAGTGCTTGGCCTCACCCCTGCAGCTTGCCACAAATGTTCCTAGGCAACTCTGCTGCAGCAGCAAGACTAATTTTTAAGATGTCTTTTCATGAACAGCAGAGCCTGCCCGCTGCTGCATGCCCTCTGTAGCCCAGATAAGCTCGCTTAGAGAAAACTGTCTGCAGCTTTGCTTCTCACACTTGCAAGGGAGAGTTTTCTCTTTCAACAATTAATGTTAAGGAACTACTACAGGCAAAATTCATAGTTTTCAGTTTAAAAAGAGGCAGGAACTCTGAATTAGCAACTGTGCTAGAGATCCACCTTCCTTTTCAAGAGTTACCCCAAGAAGATATAGAGAGCTGGGAGATATTTTTCTCCCTGCCAGATTTCATGTTACTGTCACCTTCTGCCACGCTGCAAGAGCTGTTCAAAAATAAATCACAATGTATTTTCTTAAGGGAAGCGCGCCTGCTTTCCTTGTTCTTTTGGAACTTGCAAGCAGCCACTCCATTTTTACTGAAACGTGTGGAAAATAATCACATCAGAAAAAGTAAAACTTTTTAAAAGTTACAATACAAATAACCGAAAGCCATTTCATTGGAATGGAAGGTCTTAGATGGTCTTCATCGCAGGTACCAGTGCATGTCATGCATGTATAGCGCTGTAACAGACTGAGCTGATAATGTGTGTGTAGGCAAGTATTTGTTTCAATGAACATCTGAACCAAGTCTTTGATCTGAATGAATGGTAGGAAATATACTTTTCATCTGTTGTGGTATTTTTTCCAGTAAGGAGCAAGAATATTTGCAGACACAGCATAAAGAAAGAGTAGACTTGCTGAATGAAAGGATGGCAACAAAAGTTAACACAAATGCTCTCTTAACTGAAACTTGTGATAAAACAAGAGTGAAAGAAAAAGAAATAATCAGTACAAAGGCAGCATTAGCAGGACTTAAAGAAAAAATAGCTGAAAAAATGAGTAAACTTGAAAAAGAGAAAGAAGAATATGATAAAGAGGTAAAGGTTTTGAAATGTAATTTTTTTAAAAGTTTTACAGATATAGTGCCAAAAAAGGAAATTGCCTTAGAAATTATTCCAGATGTTGCATTTTTCTTTCTCTTATGGAGCTAACATATATTTCCACAGCATCACAAGCAGAAAAGTGACTCTGACACTGGGTGCACACATGCTTTTTTGATTTCTGTATACATGTGATTGTGTTTGTGGTATGAATACATGTATGCATACACCCACAAACATGCCACACCAAAATTGCATGGTATATGAAATTTGTTTTCTAGCAGCACATCTAAGAATGTCATGCACTGGTGCTTCTTACTAACTGTGGGACAAATAATCATGTACCAGGAAATCAATCCCCCCAGGCAAACTGCTTAAAATAAAGGTACCTATATTTTCCAGCAAGCTCTGAGATAAGGTTTTACTATTTTTTTATATTCTGCTTTACTTCCAGTTGTGTATATTTGATACTTTTCTAAATGATAACATAAAACAGACGATCAGATTAAAAGAAAACTTTCTAGTAGAAAATATGGTATAGTCATGTTCCTATACTGGAATAAAATCACATGAAATTTTGGCAGATCAGGTACTAATCTGCATGTTATATTAATTGTTTCTTTTTCACATAGAATTGTCATTTGGTACATAGCTGTGGCTTTTCAGAAACTTATTTTCTTCTAGTGTAAATTTTGTGCTTATTTAATTTTAGAAGGCTTCAAATGTTTTATTATACACTTTAAACAATACATAGTACATTGCTCTATTAATTGTATTATTTTCAATGTAGAATACAGAAATGAAAAAATTCCTTGAATCTCAGGAGGCAAAAACATCCCAGAAAAAGCATGAATTTGAGAACTTGAATGTAAAATCTTCAGATCTGCAGCATTTGATAAGTCTGAATTCAACAGTAAGTTATATATATAGAATTGTTTTGGTTTACTAGGGCAAAGATCAAAATTGAATCATAAAAAAAATTATCAAAATTGAAAAATAGAATGTCCATATAGACTGTTTTTACCAGCATAATAAACCAGCCAGCTACTCTGTGCTGGTCAAGCTATTTATCGGGACATACAGGGGGTATTAAAAAAGTCTTGGATCTCAGTCATCCACATACTGCTAGTGGAGCTAGCTGGAGGATGAGCTGAAAAAGAGAAATTATAATCACAGATATTTAGTGGATGCAAACTATGATATAAGGAGAAGACACTGGGAGAAATTTAGGGAAGACTGTTCAGATAGTGTGAAAGAGTTTGCACTGGGAAAGTGTTGTAGAAACTAAACTAAGGAGACTATATTATGTTCAGCTGCCTGGGAATTCATTCAGCAACATAACTCCACACTGGTGGACATGACAATTTTTTGACACGGAAAGTCAAAGCTAATAGACTGAAAAAACACCCAGGCTTTCTCTGTCTACCACCTATTTAATATTGGTTTCCAGTTCAACCCTGCCTACGCTAGAACTACTTTTCCCTTTTATCAGGAATAACTTATCAGAGAAAATAGGGGAAGATCATTGTCTTCATCTTTCCTTTTATGATTTCTTGTAGCATAAATTCAAACTCTGTGCATCCAGTTTAAGATCTGCTGAGTTATCTCAGCACTACTGAAAATAACCATACTGCAAAAGTAATACTTGTGTAAGGAGTTGAGAGAAACTGAACTGTAAAACATAATTTTCTGCCCTAATCTTGACAACTTCTGTTTCAAGCACTGCTGCCTTGACGATAAAAGTCCTTTCTGTCTGAATATTAGTGAAAACTCAGAATTGTACCGGAGTTAAATCTGCACTGAGGTTCCCTTAAATGACAGATTTCATTGGTTTTGGTTTTTTTTTTAATTTCTTTTCCTTACCAACCTGCATTGATTTTTTTAATTTATTTTTTTACCTCTTTAAGTGGTAAAATAAATACAGCCTTACCCATTGCTTCTGAGAATTCATTCTTTGCAGGCTGTAGTAATTTTTACTTTGAAATCTCAGTGACTAGAAAATAGTAGAGTTTCATGTGTACGTTAGGAAATTAAAAAAATAAAAAAAATAAAAATAACAGACCAGTGGCAATGAAGTGATTCATTATCTGCTGTTTTGGAAACTTCACATATTTTGACATAGTCTGTTGTATTTTTATAGGTTCTACTTGATGAAGAAATTGCCTTAGAAAAACTGAGAGAAGAAAGCAAGCAAGTTGAAAAAAAGCTTGGAATTTAGAAAAAACAGATATGCTGGCACTCTTAGAACAGAAGTAAGTATTAAACTATTTGATTCGATCTTTTTACTAAACCTGTATCAGTGTTTTCTGAGGGAATCTTTCTACTGGCTTCAGTAAAGACTTGGAGGACAGTTGGAGTTAATCTAAATTAGCTGTTAGGAACAAATATTCACAAATGTGCCCTTTGGAAGAGGGTTATACTGTTATTCTAACAATATGTCTGGTTAGGAGAGTAGTCATTACTCCCTGTATATGCTGTCATCATCCTATCAGCTGGAATACTTACATTTGCTATGGCACAGAGATTGGTTCTTCTTCTGTATGTTACCCGAGATGCAAAGTATCACAACTGATGTGAATAAGCAATATAATCCAAATATCATTCTATGGACCTCTCTATGTTACATTCAGGGAACTTAATATGGAGATCCTCAATTTATCATTATCCAACCTAGGTCCATAACTGCTTCTCTTCTGACTATGCCATAGGCCTTCTGAAAGGTTGTATGACCAAAGTGATGGGGAAAAAAGTTGAGACTCTTCCTGGTGATTCAAGCTTTTTGTTTCAACCCATTTCCCTTTACAATCTGAGCTAAGAATCCTTACAGAGAAAAAAAATATGAGTTCTTGGAAACTTGGGTAAAATTATTGCTCTGAATTCTACTATTTTTCGTCATGGCAGAACTAATTCATTAATGTCTTCATGAAATTAATGTTACCATTAATTAACAATGTAATTACTGTAAAAAATGAGCTGCAGCTAGCATCCGGCTGTGGCCCTTGATCCTGCAGACAGTTATAAATTGCTTATCTTTGCTCTCCTGAAGTTTAACTTCAGTAAAAATATTGGTGCTAGGGATGTTGACCACACTCATGTTTCAAGAGTCCAAACAGTTATGATCTGGTGATGACCATAGAGGTGTAGGCTGTGCTGAGTTTCATAGCCCAAGCATACCAAATACGCTGTCTGTGTTCTTTTTTTGCTGCATTTTTATAGCTGCTCAGTGTTATGGATGTCTTTATTTGTTTTAGAGCATTTGTCCTTCATAACTTATTTTACTATTTGATGTAGCAGGTGAGTTAGGCTGTTAAGACAAAGAAAGGATCTGGTCAATGTATTTTTTTTTACCTTCACAGTGTTTGGCACATACTCTCAAAGTTTGTCTACAGAAAATATTGTCTTTCCCCACAAGTCATTCTTGGCTTGTATTTTGAAATCTTGTAGTAGAAAACCTACTAGTTCTGTAAGTCCTTACCTTCTTTGTAGGGTTTGGTAGTTTCTCATCAGATATATCAAAGGGAAGTAATTAATAAAGATGCTTGAATGGAATACAACTCAAATATATGTAGATATAGCTTGCATTCACATGAGGGGTCTGAAAGTAAGAATGCATGATTTTTTAATTAATTTTAAACATGCGTATTTTGTTAATCCTCTCCTAAATGTGTCTACATTGGCTTTGTTTAATAGGATTCAGCTTGAATCTGAATTATTGCTTTTACAATCAAAAATTGCCCAAGAAAAGGAGCATTTCAATAAGGAACTTGTAAAAGTAAGAGATTTTTTTTCTTATTCTGGCTCAGAGATTTTACTAGGCCTTGTCTTGCTGAAACACTCAATGAGGACAGACCTGCAGGAAGTGTGACATGAAGTGCTTTAGGTGCTTTGATTTGCCTGTGCCTCTGTGCTTAATGAGCGTGAGCAGGGACAAGGAACACAAACACTTGCAGGACATGAGAACTCTACCTTCTACTCATGCTTAGGAGGTCATGCTGGATGTAGAGGCGAGATCTACTCTTCAACTGAGGCCACGGACTGATGTTAAAAGACTTAAGGGGCACTGAGAAGTGGGCTGAGCTTGAGGGTATATATAGCTTTGTGTGCTGGGATGCAAGGGTTTATGAGATTAGGGGATATTGATTTGGAAGGAGTATAAAAGAGAATGGGACAGACAGATGTATGTAGAAAGATTGACGAGATTTGTTAACAAGGATGAAGTTGAGATGGGAGGCCGAGCGTGCAGTTTTGATAGTCATTCTTGACGACTTGTTTCATGCTTTTTTACATTTTTTTAGCTCTTATTACATATGGAGAAAATCTAACTAGTGGTGGCTTTCCATCTGCTGAACCTGTGAAAGAATGCCAGCTGCCTGACATCATTGTTATGTAGATGTTATACACATCTATTGGCATGGTTTCCTTGTTGCGTTCCTGACCTCTCCTCTGAAGGTGTACATATCAAATAAAATGTTGGTCCATTAAAACCTCTGCCATATTGGCATTAGGCAGCACTAGCTGGGAGCCACATTCTACCCATCCCATGATAACCCTTCCTGCTCTTCTACTGAATTCCTACCATCAAAAGCCAGAACCACAGCCATCATCTTCCTATTTCCTTTTTCTCTTCCGTCTTCCTGCCCTTGCATCCTTCAGCCATGACCAATGACTCCTGCTTTCCTCCATCTTGATATGGAGTTCTCACCGTCCCAGTGTTCCTACATCATCAAGCCTTCCCTGTTTCCACTTTATTGCTCTGTAGTCCATACAGTGGAAGTCACTACCTCCAGTTGGGGCAAGGCACCATGTGTCTGGGAGCAGCACACAGCTTGCAGACTGTTTCAAAGTGGCTGGTTTAAATGAGGCAATGGAAATGAGGATACAGAAACAATCTTGATATAATATCCATGTATGTTAATTACATACATGCTGTGAATCTTGGTTCATTTTCAAGTTTTTTGAGGTTTTTTTTATTAAAGGCACTCTAGAAGTATAGAATATTATTATAAGGTAAAACAGAGACAGAAATAATAATAAGCTAACATCTGTGGTCCTTATTTGTAGACTAAGGAAGATCTATGCAATGCTAAATACCTGAATAAAAAACTGAAATTAGAAACTGAAGCTCTGCGCCAAAATTATGAACAAGTACTGGAAAAACAGCAGCTCTGGACTATAGAAAGAGATGAGGTAGTGGCAAAGTAGGTTTTACCCCTCAGCTCTTGAAGACAGATATTTTAAGTTTGTGATTTCATTACTAAGGCTTTTCTTGCTGACAGAGTATCTAACTTACTTTTTTCTTCTGGTAGATGGGAGGAATTCTCTTTTTTATTGAAGAAAAAGTTTAGATCACTGGAAAATCTTGCGACGAAAAAGAAACACCTAGAGAAAATAATTAAAAATCTCGAAGACAACCTACTGTATGTAATCTTTAAATACTGACAATGGTAAATGTCAGTTTGCTCAGCACTTCAGCTGATTAAAGAGATACTGAAATAAACATTCAGTAGGGAAGTTGAATGGGTTTGTAAACTGTACTAGTAGGCTGTTATGGATTTTCATGAAACAAAGAGGTTAGCTGCCAGTTACCCTAATTTGATCTGCAGTTTCTTACCACCAGCCAATGAACCTACAGATGATGAAGGGTATTGAAGCAGAGCAATATGTAAAACTTCACAAATAGTTGTGACTGTGAACTGCGTACTGTGGTACCAGGTTTGGGACCAAGCAATTCCCTGTTTGTTATGGTGGCATCTAAGAAAATCTGCTTTTACTCAGATAAATCTAGTAAGCAGAGATTTGCCCTGTGCACAGAAGTGTTCTGAAAAAGGAAATCATTGTCTTGTGTAGTCTAGGCAGAACAGTCTCCTTGTGCCCTATGAATTAGGGCATGGCTGGGAGGAGTGTGGCCAAAGAACTACAGCTCTCTATTAGCCTGTAGTTGGTGGAAGAGATTTGGGATTTTGCTGCAATAGGTGAGGACAAGCCTGTGTGTTCTGAGCCCAGATATCCTGCTTTGGATCTAGTTCCTTTATTTCCTAGAGAATCAGGAGAACAAGGCCTTATGTTGAACACTAATAACGAATTTCTGTCTTGTAAGAAGGTTAATCCTGAGAAAAGGGAGAGCCTTTCTTTTTTTCTCTGCTGGAGTGTCATTCTTTGCAAGAAAACGTTAACAGGTTCAGCCGATTAATCTTACATCCCTCAAACCTAGGAGAGCCAAATATATTCACACACTCTGTGTTTTGAGTGACACCAATAGTGCTGGTTCTGTGGAACTTTTTCACAGTGTGGCACTGAAGTGGCTGCGCTCCTAGGGTCTACCTGCTACTTAAATCCTTCTGAGGAATGATCTGTTATTGTGGAGTTGCCCTACTTATGGATATAATTATAATTAAAAAGTAAGAAAATAATCCCTCACCTCTGTTTTCATACTGAATGAGAAAACATACAACACATTTACTCTGCTTTGTAGGAAAAGCATTCTCATCTTGACGAGTGTCTGATGAAGAGATATTGTTGCCATGTAAATGTGGGATGAAAAAAGTAAGACTATGAGGTAGCCACACACTGCTAAGAAGGAGGTAGCCATGCACTGCTAAAGAGGAGGAAAATTTGTAATTCAAGGGCAATGGAGTCTACAGTATAAAACTAAGTTAACAAGATAAGAGTGAAATAACCATTGGGCAGGATCTTGATGCTAATTGGGTATCTACACTAATGATAGTAAATGAAAGATTTGTAAGAGCTTTCTCCCAGTGTCAATCAGCTCTTAATTTCACGCTTTTAAACTAGACTACATGGAACTGTACAAAATGCATTGCAGCTCTGGCCTCTTAGAACAACTGATTGAAAACTCCCTTCCCTATCCCAGTCCCTATCCCTGTACTTTCCTACATCTCTGTTTTTTGTTTGTGCCTAATTATCTTGTTCTGTGCATTTTTACTGACTTCACAACATCTTTCTATATCAGACTCAAAATAATTCAATTTCAGTGTACATCACACAGACCTCGTGGTCACTTTAACAGGGCCACCAAATTTGAAATCAAAATTAAGATCTCATGTTAATTTTATTTTTTCTGGAAGTAATATGCAATGTATTCAGAATCTTACCATTCATTTTACAGGATTGGCCAATTATTTATTTCTTTAATGAGCAACTTCAAATTAAGTCAGTCAGATATCATTCAAAGAGGACACTCTTGAGTTGATTAAACCCACTGAACTGAGAAACCCACCAAACTGACAACAGTGAATGTAGTTTTGGAAAGTATGGAATAGAAGTATAATTCTTCAGGGTTTTCTATGAATTATCTGAGACATATTCTGCAAGTAGTAAATTATTTTGCAGTGCTGGCTTGATACATTTAGCATTGCATTTAGAGCAACAAAACCTTTGGAAGAAAGCTCCATACTTTCTCTTTGTAAATCCACATGGGGTTTGGAGTAGGTGCTTCCCACCACACTTCTGTCTTGAAGGAGTGAGTATCACTGATTTCATACTGCCAACCTTTTTATTGTTGAACTCTCCTAGAATGGGTGGAATACACATAAAGTTCATTCATTTTTGTATTTATCACATATACTAGAAAATACATACTAAGAAATTAAAATAAATTGATTTGTCCATCTGGTCACAAGTTCTGCTTCTGAAAATACTTTTGTAGTAATTGCTACTAATACATTTGAACAGTTGTTAATTTCTGAAACATCTGGTTTTGTCTATTGCATTATTTTATTGCTTCTGGCTTGAAAAATATACTCCTGGATTTGCCTTGATTCCTAACAAGAGCCTCTTCATTTTAAACTGATGTTTCCAACGTAATGTGCTAACATGCTACAGTATGTGTAGGTTTTTGAGATGGGACCCATAGGTACCATATTGCCTCTCTCCAACTAGTGCAAGTGCTTAGCACGTTGGTCAGTGGGAAGAAAATTTTGGAAAACTGTACTAAAATTTTGACATAAAGTAAGCACTGTCCAAGTCTTTAGCATTATTTCTCAAAGTTTACTTTCCTCCTCTCCCCCCTTCCCCGACAGAAATATAAAGAAGAGCTATGCAGAACAGCTGGCATCTCTAGAGCAAGATTTGAAGGCAGAAAATAAGGCAAAACGAGAAAGTTTGCACTATATCTTCAAAACAAAGCAGTGAATTAATTAATTACTGCATCTTGATGTTGCTATTACATCAGAGATATAAAACCAAAGCCTTACTGTGTAAATATTCAGTGATATAATGACAAATAAAAGCATATCTCCTCAAGTATATCCATGGTTTCATTTGAATTTTATTGCTTTATTGCCAAGTGGTAAGGGCCACTCTAGTTACCATGTAAGTGGCTTTTAATCATTATGACAGCAAATGTTTGACCTGTTTTATTTTATAAGCTATTTGGGATTTTCCCAGGATATGTACGCTTACATAAACTGTAAAACTGTGGGGTTTGGGGGATTGTTTGGTTTGGTTTGGCATGGTTTTTTTTCCAATCATTTATTCACTATTTATTGTTATTATTAAATTCAGTTGATGTTCATTGGTAGCTGATGCATGGTAGCTGATTCTGCACTTCTGAGTCAGTGAGAACTTTGTCATTGAATTCAAGGAGAAAAAAATAAGCATTGCAGTTCACTGCTGTATCAAGTGCCCACAGCTCCAGCTGGAAGTATGGTGGTTTTGTTGCTGAACACCTTTCAGAATCAGGTCATTAGACTGGTGGTATCTGGAGTTCCAGATGTTATATAGACAAACCCTTTGACAGGGTCAGTAAGAATGAGATAACTTTGCATTTTCAGTAATTTAATCTTTCTTCCTTGGACTCACTTATTTTTCACTAGTTTAGCCGTGCCTTCTACTGTATCTATCTTTTTAGGAAATCTTTGGAAAGAATTGTAAGAAGCATGTTACACAAAGGTCACAAAAAGACATGGGGTTTATTTTATCTATATTCAGAATATCCACTATGAACTAGTTCATATATACACACATGTCTACCCGCAGTGAGGTACCTATAGAAAAAGCCTAGAGTCAGATAAATCTAAGTGAATGTTTGATATAAAGCTTTTCTGCTAGTTTTGAATTTCTCTGTAACTGCCAGATTTTACATGCAGCTCTTGGAGGTCTGCTCATACTGTTTGTCTAAATCAGGGTGTGGTATCTAGTTTTTGAGGTGTTATCATTCCACACCAATATGGAGATACCTTCTTTTCAGAGCACTGAGACTTATGTACTTGATAGGGGCTTTTTTTTTTTCTTCCATGAATACCTCCACTTTATTATTGACAAGGTGAAAAAGTGGATTCAGGAAAGAGTGCTTAGCCCCCTGCAGTTGATAAGATACTCTCAAAAATAAAATCATGGTCTGCTCAGCTACTTCAGACTATCTCTGCAGCTCTGATTTCTCATTTGATTATTCTGTCATGTAAGGCACAGAGATAGGGAGATTTCTTGGTCATCTAGTCCAGTCTGGTTCTCCCCTAAATACTACATCATACTTTAGACTTCAAAAAACCCAAACATGTTCAATCCAAAACCTTATTGTTGCTTTCCTCCCCTTACTCTCATTAATATGTCATTCTAAAATCTCATTCTTTTGATGACTAAAAACATTTTTTACTGACTTCCAGTCTGCATTTTCACATAGACAAGTGTGCCTTTTTTGGTTTTATATGTGTTTCATTTTATCCTTTTCATAATTTACAAACACTGGGGTTTTATGGTCACAAAATCTTGTCATTCACAGCCTTCCAATTTGCTAAGCTAAATTAACCAAATTATTTGGTCCAGACTTTTATTAACTAACTTTAAGCACTTAAGTGAGACTAGTCACTTTAAGAATACTCCTCCATGTTCAATAAAAACAGAGAGGCACTTCAGAAGGTTTTTATGTCTTTTTATGCATCTCCTAGATATTGTCAGGATCACAGACAACTGATTATAGTCCTGAAGTTACAGAAAATATGTCTGAGTCTTCTAATCTCTTAAATTAGGCTTGTAGTGCTCCTGAGAATTTGTCTCCCTTCTCTGTTTTTCTCCCAAATTCAACTTATTTCTGCTTATGTGTATGTCACCAGAGTAATATTTCAGTGGAAACTACTGCACTTATCAATGCAGAGAGAACTCTTTTTCCCAGCAGAAGAGAGCAGAAGCAGAAAAGTGAATGAAAGAATAGAGGCTAGTAAAAAACTAGTAAAAAATGTTGAACTACTTGCAGAGGTATGTTAAACAGCAGGTATTATAACCTATTACATCTAGTGTTACATGCATTCATGATACATGTAATAACAGTAAACTGTTACCTAAGTAAAAGTGAACTCCAAGGGCCAATTTTTTGTAAGCTACTAAACATGATATCAGGTCTAAAGATCTTCAATACCTAAAGATCTAAATATCTCCATTCTTGGAGATATTCAAAAGCCATTTGGACATGGCCCTGTGCAGTCAGCTCTAAGAGGCCCTGCTTGAGCAGGGGGGTTGGACAAGATGACCTCTAGAAGTGCCTTCGAACCTCAACCATTCTGTGATTCTATAATCTGACTTTAACACCTATTAATAACAATTTAAAGGTGATTATTTATCTTAGAAGATGTTATGTTTTGAATGCAGATTGCTCTCATTTTGCACTAATTGCTTGTTTCTGGGTGGTCCAGGTAGACACTATATATTTCAGAAATCACTGACCTTCATTTTGCTTTCCATTATGAGATTGAAAACCTTGAGGAAGAGATTTTTCAGTCTGAGAATCAATTCAATGCCCTGAGTGAAGAAGCGAGTAAGAAGGAAAATGATTACAAGAATTATAACAAAGATTTTGCTAACAAAATAAAATGTCTGGAGATAAGTTTTGTTGTTCTTTTTGTCAACCTTGGGAAAATTTCTGATGGATGAATTGGCAATGTTTGTTGCACCTTGTTGCAGCTATGCTCATTGGAGTTATGTTTAAAGATGCTCCATGTCAGTAACTGTTTCAAGAAAATTTTGTGCTTTTCAGGTTGGTGTGGTTTCTTCTTGTGGGTTTGGTTTTGGGTTTTTTGTTGGGTTTGTTTTGTTTTTTTTCTCACAAGAACTTAAAACCTTCAGGTTGAGACACTGGAATTATTAAATGACCATATATGTATATGCACATATATATTCATGTACCTGTGGGCATCTGTGTCAAAAGAATACAGAGCAGGTGTTTCTCAGAAGGGGTGACTCCAATTTTAGAATAAAAATTTGTGCAGGACCAGATTCAGTCCTGAGATGGATCCTATTTAGCTTTGGAGTGAGCCTCCCAGTGTGTAACCTATTAATGTAGAATGTGTTTGATCACATTCTCAAAAACATTCTGGTTTGAGTAAGCAGGCCAACATTCATGGCAATATGGCAGCTTGATTTTAGGCCCTGGTCAAGGTCTCCTCTGAATTACTATTGTAAATCTATCGCAGTGACTGGTGGTGTGCAAGGCATAACCCAAGGCTACTTAGTGTCAACATTCTTTAAAACACTGATGAGCTTTCTTCACCAAAGAAAGTAGGGTGCTGAAATGCTGTATATGAATTTCTCAGAGCTGTCAAGGTTTTCTAGCACTTCTCTGGTCTTTGGGATATAGTATATGCTCTATCCCCAGGAAACTGCTGGGCTCTTGTTCAACAGTCTGATTTCAGATAGGATAAATCAGATGTCAGGAGTGTAAGAAATATCCTCTTTGTATGTCTGACCTTAGGAAGGCAGATTTACAGAAGGCCTTGAGAATTTTTTCTCATTTTGCTCATTAGTGAGAGGTTATGCTCCCACATTATGCAAGATAGTTATGGTCATGTAACTGCTCAGGCTTCCCTATAAATCTGAAGGCTGAGACTGTCACTACTAAGGAAGCAGTTGTGCTGGGTTCATTCTCATGCTCTTTCTGCCAGTTAAGCTATGCAGTATATGCAAAAGAAATGCTAAATATACCTTGATACTTTTTCTCTGTCTTTTATTTAATATAGTCCATTCTAGAGTTTTTCCCCCATCTAAAATAGTGCTGATAAAACTGCTATGGGAGAGTTGCCCTTTCCTTTGTGGCCTGGACAGAGACAGGTTGAAAAAGTGATTGTAACTCTTTGTTTTCATTTAGTGACACACTCTGAGATACTCTGCTTTCTTAACTGTTTCCTACTTTGCTTTCATTTCCTACCATTCTGATGAAGCAATTCAAGTTGCTTTGTTTTTTTTCTTCCCAGTTTTCCTTCTGGAGCTTTTAGTATTTTCATGCACTTGCTCTTCACTATTTTTATCTGCAAAATGATTCTCTCTGAATGCTCTCTCATGAAGGTGGCCTGGGTATGAGGAATAAATTCCTTTACAAGACTCATGTCAGTTTAGGTTAATTCTGCTCTGTTTGGAGTACCATGATGATGCATGAGATCAAAGAAGTTCATAGAAATGAGACTCAGATCACCTTTCCTTCTCTGCCTTCTTCACATACCTGTTTCGGCTAAGGAAATAATTTCTTCTGTTCTTCTCCGTATTTTCCAGGGTTTTTTTTTTTCTTTCTTTTTTAGCTGTTCTTCTGCTACAGCCCTTTAAAAAAAACCAAACCTATAATAAGGCTCATGAGCTGTATTTCTATACTTGGAGGTTTTCTGATATTTCTAGTCTTTGATCACAGAAGTGATACCTGATTTCAGAGCCTGAGAAGGACCAAAAATATATAGTGCTGAATTTGACATTACTGTCCTGTAAAGAAGCGAGTTCAGAGTTGTGGTGTTACTTCACAACCTGGGCTCCAATTCATTTCTTTGTATGACTTTAGTTCCTGGGTATCAACTTGTCCCTGTCTTAATATTTTTCTTCAAGTCTCCCAGCCTATGTGGGTTGTTCCTGTTCTCCATTTCTGTGTCTTTACCTATTGCAGCAGAAGAGTACACATGTATTTTTCCAGTGAAAAGTCCTTTAATTAGTGTCTTGTGTTTCATTGGCCCTAACTAAGATGATGTTCCACTGTGCTGAAAAATGCATATATATCAAATTAGATTTGTTTTGTTTTAAAAACAAAGGTCAGATATTTTTTAAAGGTAAGGAAGGAGACAGAGAAAGATTAAAATGTTCAGTGTTTTAGTCATGTTTAGGTGATGATCTGCTTAGTCTTTAAGAGCTAATAGTTCTTTTTCTCCATGCTGACTTAAGAGTACAAATATTCCCAGGCTGGTAAGTCTGTGCAGCCCTGCTGTAGGGTGATGTAGGTTTCCAGCCCTAACTGTTCTATGACTCTATGATGTACAGCTCAGATCCAGGACCATTGTAGTTAATACAATGTGTTAACTACATTTAATACAATATATAAAACAAACATTAGTATGATTGAAAAAATATGCTTATGGCTGGGCATGGAGCAACAACATGAGACAGGTCAAGCTACAAAATGACATGCTAATAGGAAAGGACATGTAGAATAATGTGAAAACACTCCAGGTTTGTGGTAAGACAATGAAATATTTATTTTGCTTCACTGATGGGTCAGCAGAATCAAATGCCTAGCATATGAATGCTACCATCAGAAAATTAACATCTCAGGGAACAATAGGGAAGGAAGTAATTGGCAAGCGTACCTAGAGAACCCTGATACCTTTGGATCATCTGAGTCTAATGAAATTCACCTTCAGGTAGTGAAGTTGCTGAAGCAGTTTCAGAACTGCTCATGATTGTATTTAATTGCACATCAAGAATAGGTAAGTGAAGCTTAAATCAACTTCATTTCCCAAAATAGCCATACTGGGTAAGACACAATGTTGGTCCTGCCAGTATCCTTTCTTCTACAGTGATCAATAGTATTCCTTGAAGAAGTAATGTAAGAACAGCCAAATATAGAATGACCGTTCTTCTGTATAATCTCCATGACAAATGAAGTGTCAAGAACTTCTTTGGGTGGAGATGGTATCTGCATTTAATAGCTTTTGATGGAATTTTATGCTACACTGGACCTTCAGTGCAATATTCTCCTATCACTGATTCTTTTAGCTCACATATACATTTAGCCTCCATAATAACCTATAGCATATCATTTATTTAATAAAGACAGTAGTTTTCTTTTCTTTGAAACCTACTATCTCAAAAGTTTATTGGCATCTTGCTATTCTTTTGTTATGAGAAACAGTGAATAACTGTTGTCTTCTCATTTTCTCCAGCAAAGGCGTGTGGGTTTTATATACCTTTATTGTATGTCCCTTCAGTTGCTGCTTTTTCAGGCTAAGAATCCCAGGTACAAAAAACAGTTAGAAACATTATCAGAGATAATAGTTACCCATGCTTTACTGACAAAATAGAAAAACGGTCCCTGTTAGATTGTGAGAGGTCTGCTTTCACTGGAATTTATCTGGTTTTTCCTTATTGACTCAGGTGATATTGTAGAGCGACTGCTTAATGTATCTGTACATGATAAACACAGTAAGAGTGGGAGTGCCCTTTGCAGGGCAGAACTAGACTTCAGAGTTATTTTTGCAAGTTGGAGAAGTAATTTGGGTAAAAAAAGGTTTTAGTAATAATCATCATTATCATCCATATTTTTGTGTTTAGGTGGAAAGAATTGTCTGTACAAATCTATCACGAGTCAGATATTTAGGCAATGATAAATAGAACTAAAGCTGAAAAGTAGAACATAAGTCAACAAAGATTTGTTGTACTGAAAAAGGCAATTCTCAAACCAGTCTGTGTGGAAAGGTCGATAACCTGGCAAGGTTTATGGTGCATGTTCTCTACTCTAGCTGGTTTTGGCAGGACACAGCTGGAGTACAGTGTCTGGTATTGATCACCTCATGGTGATCAAAGGAGGATATGGATTATTCTGAGACCCAAGAGGAGTTCAGTAAAGATGATCAAAAAACAGTTGAAGAAATTCACAGCTTTTCCATTTAAAATAGCTAAACCTAAGAGAAGATATGTCAGTAAGTACCAAATAAATAAAACTTTGTAGCAAGATATAAGCCTTTCTCCCTGTCCACTTGTTGAGACAAATAACAGGGAACAGAATAGATTTAACTTAAGAAAAGGGCTTTAAGAAAACACTGACAGCACAAATAATAAACCCATGGGATCAGTTGTCTGAGTCATGGTATCTCTACCACTAGGGTTTTTAAGGACAAATTAAACATCTGTGTGGACACTTAGGTCTAATTGATTCTGCTGTACAGCAGAGAGATGGACTAAGATGACCTCTTGGGATCACTTTCAGTATTTTTTTTCTGTTTTGTTTGTTTTGTTCCCCCTCACACCCCCAGATATGTTAAAATATTAATGCATTAAATGTTGCTTAGATAGATTGTTGATTAATATTTAGTTTCATTTAAGAATGACATAAAAAATGCAACTGAAAATCTACTTAAAAAAGAACAAGAATTAACCACAAGCAAGCTAACCTTGGAAGAAGCCCAGAGAGAAAGATAAGCATACAAAATATGAAGACCTGAACAAATCCTTTTTAGGTAAGTATTAAGTATCTCCTCTACATTGTGGAGCTTTCTCTTGTTGTTTCCAAAAACAGTGTGCCATAACCCTATGTCTGCCTATGGCTCAGGCGAACCGTGAAACACATAAATTGAGTTCTTACCAACAACTGGAATCTATAGACCTGGCCATAACAGGAAAATAAAGCATTTAAGAAAAAAAATAAGAGTGACTTAAACAAGTCACTAATAGAACCTAATTTTATTTGTAACACTTTAATGTTTAATCATAACACCGTCTAAAAACCATAGAATGGTTTGGGTTGGAAGGGACCTTAAAGATCATCCTGTTCCAATCCCCCTGCCACAGGCAGGGACACCTTCCACTAAACCAGGTTCCTCAAAGCCCCATCCAACCTGGCCTTGTACACTGCAGGGACTGGGCAGCCACAGCTTCTCTGTGCAATCCTTTCTCTGCCTCGTAGAAAAGAAAGATGAAGAAGTACAAGCCACAAGAGCCATTCAGCAGTCAATCAAAACTACTGGGAAGCTCAAGAAGGACATGGTAATAACTTACTGTAGTAATTCTGCAGAGTTTCAACCACCAGATTTATTTCCTCCTGGTAAAGGCACCCATGGAGACTGGGACCAGGGAAGACAGGCTGGGACCTTACCATCCTCTCTGTTGCTGTGCTCCCATCTGGGGAGTGGCTGAGATTTCAGCTCAGCCTATAACCCAGAATTTATATCAAGCTGCCCTTCTGCTTGATTTTGTGTTCCTTAGACATGTGAGCAAGTCAAAAAGAAGCTGGTGAACTGGGGGCATTTGTAAACCTGCTTCAATTCAGGTTCTTGCTACTGCAAAGGCAGGAATTTCTGCTACTTTAGTAACTCGTATTTGAAAAACTTTTCTGTAGCATTGCCTCTTTACCTGTATTTCTCATTTCTGACTTGAGGCATTCAATCAGCACCAGTGTGAAGAGAACGAAATTGGTATAGCTGTAGGGGTAGTTAGAATAGTTCAAAATGCCTGAAGCTGGGCTGTACATCCCAGGCTAACAATCAGATTGCTTTTTCTTCCTGTTTCTTTGCCAGAACAAAAATTTATGGGGGAAAGGAACATATTTACACCTTCTGCTGCTACTAGGAAGAATTAAAGTGTCTTTAGTTACTGAGAAGCATAGGACAAGATCAATAAACTACATAAAGGGATCTTACGAGGCTGGTCAGATGCAGGATTCATGCCCCAGTGGTCTGTTTAGAAAAGGGAGACCTGTTTCTCCAACCATATTAGAATAGAAATAGCACAACAAAACAGTTGTGTACACTTGAGCCTCAGGTGACAGAAAAATTATGCTCTTGCCATTGGTTGACCCTGCAGCAGAAAGGTCACTTCATGTCAGAGCTGATTCATTTCTTGTGGACCATAAGCAATTGATTCCCCACTCTGTGTCTTCACTGGTAAGAGGGCTGTCTCAGATGGTACTTTGGAATCTTAAAATGAAAGCTGCCACATAACAAAAACTCTTTTCACTTTATTTAATTACAAAAATCCTATATAAAAATCTGTTATCAGTGAAGTTTATTATTAACAGCTGGAGCTGAAGAATAAATTGCGAACGAAGCGTGATGCTGCAGTTAGCCAGTTGAAAAATCACACAGAGACTACGAAGCTCCTAGAACAAGACATCTATGAGATCAACAGGAAAATTGACATTGTGTACACTGAGAACTGCAGATTCAAATTAGTGAGTATATTCAAGCTTGACAGTGCTCCTTCTCAGTGTATTCATTTTTCATTTCGCAGAGAACTGGCCATGGAAGATGATAAAACATAAACATCACAAGGCAAACCTGACCTTTTAAATGAATGTGGGGGTGCTTAATTTGTAAGGAAGCAAAGAGGAATATCCAAGGACAAGGCATCTACCTGAGGCATAATCAATATAGGATACCTGTTGCATTGAGGCACGGACTGTAGGAAAAGGCCCTCCTGCTTGTGTGAAGAGGCCCAAGATGAGCAAGAGATGTAGAATAGGCATCTTCAATTTGGAATATATACTTTTGAAAATATTCTGTATACCCTTCAGGCCCTAGGCTATCAGAGCAGTAGAATCTCCTTCCCTGTAAAACACATGAAGCAAAAACGGTCTTAGTGCCCACTGTTATCAGGCTCCAATCCAGACCCGAACCCATGTTTGTGCAGCCACATGGACTATATTTCTGAGATGATCTGAACCCTGTGCACTGTTTGCTCCTGCAAGCACAGAGCTCTACTGCTGCAAGGGCAGCTGCCAGAGTCTGTGCCGGCTAGCACTGCAGGTGCTACATACTAGCTACTCTGCAGCTCTATCGGATTATACCCTTATAAAAACAAAAGGCTTCCCTGCAGGAAGAAAACTCATGGTTATGCTGCAAGCACCCCTCTCCTCATGTTCAATTCACTAAGAGAAGCTGAGGTGCTCCAATTTTCCAACACCTATATTGCACCAGGGAGTGCTCTTTACTGTGCCTGACATGGGCCGTCTGACACGTTTCAGCCAAACCTGGGGCACGACCAGCTGGGTACTTGTAGACCTGATCCAATGTGAATGAGTCCATCCTGTTCTGGGTGAATGAGTAAGGAAGAGTTTCCTTGTTGGCACACACCCTGTCCTCCTCTGGCTGTTCCCAGTATCCTCATCCATTCTGTTTGGTACCACAATCATAGCTGGCTTGTGTTGAATTTGGCAACTGTTAAAATTTATTAAAGATGAAATGAATGATGTTGTTGAAAGAAAACGTGTCCAGAGGAATACATTAGCCTTTGTATTTCCATAAGCTAATATTCAGCTTATTCTTCCTGATCTCTCCAATAACAGTAAAACTGTTTGGAAATGATTGGCAAGTGTTCAGTAATAATTATTTTTTTTCCCAGCGCACTGCACAAATGAAAGAAGATATTTTTGCAATGAATTCTGAAGCAGAAAAACACAAGTCAGCAATAGGCAAAATCCTGAAAGACATACCAGTGCTTCACGGTAATATATTAATAACAATTTTGAAACAAAAAAGTTATATGATTTGAATAATATCCTTTAGTCCTTTTGTCTTCTTTTTGGCACAGCAATTTACCACGTTTTAACTGCTAACTCTGTTGTAGATCATCTTCAGAAGGGGTGGTCAGAGGAGAGCTTTACTCAAAAGTTGAATTTCAGTTTTCTATTGTGCTGGTTTGCTTAAATATATTTTGCATGCCATATTAAAAAAGTGAAATTGCATTTTGCAACTGAGCCATTACAGTCTTTGAATTCATACAGGGCAAGATACTAAACCTATGCTTTCCAGCATTTTATGAAAGTCCTGGCTATAAAAATAATTTTTCCTGGTATTGTTCCTTTTGCTGGTCTTACATTCAAGCCTTTCTTAAACCTGTACTTAATAACACTCTTGCTGCTCTACATTCAGTTCATTGGCCTGGAATACTTTTCCCATTGGGGATAGCCAAGGATGGCCTTCAGTTTGAACAGGAATTAAAGCAAACGATCATGTAAAGTTCTTCACCAGTTAGTAAGGCAAACTTTGCGTTTTTTATGCAAGGATGGGGTAGTTGATGAAAAACCTCTTGCAGAGCTACAGGTCTGGTGGCCAGCCAAGCTGTGGGAAACCAAAACAGGTTTCTTGACATTTTGTGAGGTTCTGGTGGGGTGTTTTATGTTTGGTTTGGGAGGGTTTGGGTTTCTTTGGGGGGGGGGGGGAGGGGAGGTCCTTTATGAAGAAAGAAAAATTCTGCTCTGTGTCATTACAGGAATTTCTGGAGAATGAGCAGGAACTACTGAACACAGTGACAGCTCTAACAACAGAAATTCAGCAACGAGATGAAAAGATTGGTGATATTAATAGCAGGCTGCAAAATAACCTGGAAGGACTGGATTCTCTGCTTGTCCGAAAATCTAAACTGGATGATCACAATAAAATAGACTAAACTTTTTCTTTTCCACTCTCTTTTCTTTTTCATTTTTCCTTTTTGCTGTTTTTTTAATCCCAGAACATGTTGATTCTCACCACTTCGTGATAGAGACCCTGTAACGCAGCACATTGTATCCAATCACTGTGCTGCAGATTGAGATCGAGTGGTTATATTTATTAGCCGAACTAGACATGCTTTAGAACAGCCTGGATATTATCATCTTTTATCTCCACTTTGTAACGGGTTGTGATAATAACAGTGAGGGGGCTGTAAAACAGTCTGAGCATCATTGATCTTTCCAGAACTGTGTTTGCTTTTCCACAAAGGATAAATAAAACTAACAGACCTTTAACTTCCACAGCTTGTGGTTGCATGGTTATTGCTGTAGGACTATATGGCTAATTAATGTTTACGTTCTCTAGAATTTTACACAGAATCATAGAATAGTGTCCTGGTTTAAGCCCAGGCCGTAAATCAGAACCACGCAGTCTACTCCCTCCCACCCGCCCCCCCAGCCAGCCCTTTCTTCCCCCCTCTCCTGGAGGGATGGGGAGGAGAAGTGAAAATAATGCAACTCCCACGGGTTGAGATAAGAACAGTTTAGTAACTAAGGTATAACACAAATCACTGCTGCTACCACCAATAATAATGATGATAAGGGAAATAACAAGGGAAGAGAATACATCACCTCACAACCCCCAGACCGATATCTGACCCCACCCAGCAGTGATCTTGCCCTTCCAGGTAACTCCCAGTTACCTCCTGCACACGATGTGCTGTGGTATGGAACACCTCTTTGGCTAGTCTGGGTCAGGTGTCCTGTCTCTGCTTCCTCCAGACTTCCCCTCCTCCCTGGCAGAGCATGAGACTCAGAAAGTCCTTGGTCAGAGTAAACATTACTGAGCAACACCTAAAAACATCGGTGTTATCAGCGCTGTTCCCAGGCTGAAAGTCAAAAACACAGCACTGCAACAGCTACCAAGAAAGAGAAAAATGACTGCTACTGCTGAACCCAGGACAAATAGTTTGGGTTGGAAGGGATCCACAAAGCTCATCTAGTCCAACCCGCCTGCAATGAGCAGGGACATCTTCATCTAGATCAGGTTTCCCAGACCCACATACAGCCTGGTCTTAAATGTCTCCAGGGATGGTGCACCCACCACCTCTCTGGGCAACCCGTACCAGGATTTTGCCACCCTAATTGTAAAGAATTTCTTGCTTGCATCCAGCCTGAATCTCTCATCTTTTAGTTTAAAACCATCACCCCTCATCCTATCACAACAGGCCCTGCTAAAAAGCCTCTCCTCATCTTTCTTATAGGCCCCTTTTGCAAACTGAAAGGCTGCAATTAGGTTTCCCCGACAAGGGCAATTTGGACTGCCCTTTCCATTTAAACAAACAGTATTCTATTCTCTGGTCTTGGAGAGGGGTGATACTACACAGAGGCCCTAGGCACATACAAATCACTTGCTTCAGAGCCTGCTTTTAACTCGAATGCTATAGATACAGAATCATAGAATAACTAAGGTTAACTAACTAGAGTTGGAAAGGACCTTAAGATCATCTAGTTCAAACCCCCCTGCCATGGGCAGGGACACTTCACACTAAACCATGCCACCCAAGGCTCTGTCCAACCTGGCCTTAAAACACCACCAGGGATGGAGCATTCACAACCTCCCTGGGCAACCCATTCCAGTGCCTCACCACCCTTACAGTAAAGAACTTCCTCCTTATATCCAACCTAAACTTCCCCTGTTTACATTTGAACTCGTTACCCCTTGTCATGTCACTACAGTCCCTAATGAAGAGTCCCTCCCCAGCATCCCTATAGGCCCCCTTCAGATACTAGAAGGCTGCTATGAGGTCTTCACCTGTTGATTCACAGAGGTCTTGTCTGTAACGAGAAACAGGTTTGGTCACAATATGATCATTGTCTTGTTATAGAATGTGTTTTTTATACCTATTGCAGCTGAAAGGCCGTGGCATACAGGCTACTTCAAAATCATTGGGTCTGGGTAATGTGACAGGAAATCAGGGAGAGGAATGATGAACTTATAGAGGAAGGGAATGCCCTGGAAGGAATTCAAGCTGAGAGGGGAAGGATGGTGAACATACAGCAAAGAAGAATCCTGCTTCAGCTGAAGCTCCAATATTATTTTCTGTGTGAAAAGGGCAGGGCAGGGCAGGTTTCTTCACAGGAAGCCTGCACAAAACCATTGCTTGGTTATTCCAAACAGCATGCACTATCTGTCTGCATCTGCCTTTGGCTGCCATGACTTTTTTCTTTTCCTTTTTTTTTTTTTTTTTTAATGTTACTGAGAGAAGCTGATAAAAAAAGAGTTTATTAATTAGCATTCCACATTGCATGTTTTGCTCAATGACAAAGTGCTGGAGCCTGGCAAGAAGGTCAGTGTCTGGGTATGCCATGCAAGCTCCATGGGGTGCACTGCCCATAAGCTCTGCTTTTACAAGTCCCTCATCCTGCAGCCTTCAAAATTAACATGGGATTCTCTAAACTTAGCAAAAGATTTACTCCTTACTACAGATAATGTTACCTGGGATGAGTTCTTACTTTTCTTTTTAAAAGCAAGATATAGCCCAACATTTAACCCCACATATTGCACATAAAAATGTACAGTCCTTAGTGCTGCACCTTTGCAAATGTTTTCTCCTGCATGGTGCTGCACTGCCTGTTCATATGCCTACTGTGCCTGTACTAATGGGAAAGCTGTGCAAATGCAGGCACAAAACTGGCTAGGATATTTTAAAAGAAAATACGCCTATGAGTCTGTCAGTTATGGAAATGGTATTTTAACACAAGTTTTAAAACCATACTTTTAGAACTGTCTTCTAGATTAGTGTGTCTAATATTTTATGCAAAAAAAATCACATACTGTAAGTAGCAGCATAGACAGCATTCGATTTCTGTAAGGAGATCAATTACTTCCTTAATCCCTAAATACAACCTTACTTCTGCATGCAAGACCTAGTTCTTAGAAGCAATGAACCTGTCAACTGCTATTTCACAGGAAAAAAGCCATCAGGAAAGGCTTATCCACTGTAACAGAATCAAACCTACTGTGGAGAGAGGAGAGCGACATCTCGAGGCAGCCTGGCCAAGATGACACACCTCAATGCCCCTGAGCTGCTAGCAGGGTTTGTCATTAGCAGTGTTGATATGCAATAGAATAAAAAAAGGCATTACGGTCATGCTTAAATATAGAAATAAACAGTTATTTGCAAATCATCTATGCATTTGGAAAAGTTTAGATTGAGAAGATCTTCCTATTGCTCTTTCTTCTGTGTTCAGACCTTCAGTACAGTTCTGCATCTTCCTTTAGTCCCTCTATGGCACTACACCACTGGTGACTAATATACAGGATACATGCTTTGGTTATCATCCTGTACAATACAGAGAAAACACTGGAGGTCTGTCAGTGGAAACTTGGCTTCAGCAAAGCCAAGAGCTCATTTCTGAACAGCCTCAGAAGCTCTAGCAATTCTTACCGAGGTGTTCACATAAAGATTTTGATGAATGCAGACCAGATATAATGGTATCTCTTGAAAGAAAGAAAGAATCTGTAATTCTTTTTATTAAATCTGCTGGTTTTGTACTTTAGCCATCTCAACATTTTTTGTTGCTGCAGCAGTGATACAGCATAAACACCTGTTCCTTTCTCAGCTGCTGATTTACACTCCTCTCCAACCACTGCTGTTGCCATAGTGTGGGTACAGCTGCACTACACAGCAAAAGATGCAAGCTGCTGGCACCACCAACAAATGATGAAACAGCCATGAAGCACACTCACAGGAGGAAGCTAGGGGGGCTCTGTTGAAAGGGGCAGAAGCAATCCTACCTGTACATAGTTAACAGATGCATCACAGTTTTCCTGGTAGCTGTCAGCAAATAAAATCTTTAGTACGATCTTAGAAGGAAATTTATAGTCAAGGTAAATGGAGTTTGTGGGAAGAATACTGCTGTTTAATCATTTCCATGAAGTACACAGACCATAAACTATACTTTTATAGGGAATTTAAAAATGCATTTCCTCTCCTTCTACCTTTCATCATAAGGAATCATGCTCAATGTGTTCTATTTTTTGATGGAAAGAAAAGTATTTCCACTGGTGGCGCAGACGATAAGAAAACAGCACTATTGTTTCCTATTGCTCTTCCTTCTGTGTTTAAACCTTCAGTACTGCTCTGCATCTTTTTCTAGACCCTCTATACCATGACGTTACTGGTGATTTATATACAGGATACGTGCTTTGGTTATCTTCCTGTACAATACAGAGAAAAGACTCTATTTGTTTCATTAAGTCTACCGAAAGCCCAACTCTAACATTTTATTCAAACACAACCTAAAATACTGTATTAAGAAACAAACACATACAAGCAAATCCCTATACTAGAATGTGGCGCAAGCTTTTTATACAGATTCACAGTGATAAACAGATACAAGGACATTCCCTTCCATCTATACCAGATACTTAAGAACACAAAGTGCAGCTTTTTTTGTATTCTCCAGTCTCATTCAGGTGTTTCACCTAGAAGTCTGGTTCATAAATAACTTCTAAAACAGAAGTTTCCAAACCATAACAAGCTTAATTAAGCTTGCTTTATTAATTAAGCATTGCTTAATTCAGATCATCTGGACAGTGTTTTTGGCACAGGCTCCTTTCAATGTCCATTTCCACCTTCCGAGAGTATGCGTGACGGTTCAGTGTACTTTGCTGTCAGCAAGTAGAAGAGGGCAGGTGCAGGTACCAAGGCAAGCAATGGCAGGTCCTGCTCAACCTTATCCAGTTTGGAAATGGAGATGATTCCATAGGCATGAAGTAACCAGTGGCTGAAGAGAACAACAAGCCTTTTCTTCCTCACAAGAAGATCCTTGAAAGACTTGCAAAATAAACACAGTACCTTGTTAGCATTCATCCCCTTACCTAGTACCTGATGTTTAACAGTCTTACACAGGCAGCACAGAGACTGCATGTGCCTCTTGGGTTTGAGCCCTTCCCGCACAGAACAGTTCCTCAGTGCACCACAAGAGGGAAGCCTCACAGGAGCTTCCTCCAGCTCAGACAACGCAGGTTTAAACGCAGAATACAGCTGAGAAAAGGTAAGAGACAAAGTGGTCTCTCCTCGAATTCAAGTATTTTGTAGTTTATTAAAACAGGAAACATGTTTACCTACCTCCACTTCAGACGCAGACATGTACACAGCCAGTGTAACTAAAGACAACACCAGTATGATGTATGGGAAGGCATAATCTAAAGGCAAACATCAAACACATTAGCAGGAGAAAGAACACTAAATACACATTTCAGCAGAGGTAGTTTTTCCACATAAAACCATGGGTGTGAAATTAACTAAGCTACTGTAGCCCACCTCTTATCATCCCATCAAACACACACAGTAGTAAGGCTCAGCCTAGCACAACTATTCAGCACTTCAGTCTTAGGTTTTCAAACTTTTTCTGTTATTTCAAGGAGGAATTACTGTACGTTTAAATCACTAACTGAAAAAGGCAGATAGAATCATAGAATAGTTAGGGTTGGAAAGGACCTTAAGATCATCTAGGTCCAAACCCCTGCGCCATGGGCAGGGACACCTCACGCTAAACCATGGCACCCAAGGCCTCGTCCAACCTGGTCTTGAACACCGCCAGGGATGGAGCATTCACAACCTCCCTGGGCAACCAATTCCAGTGCCTCACCAGCCTAACAGGAAATAATTTCCTTCTTATATCCAATCTAAACTTCCCCTGTTTAAGTTTTAAATGAGAAAAGCAATCAGGCTGAGCAGGGATTTTGTAGCACCTGTGACCTTCATGTGACAAGTTTGCAAGAAGCAAACATAAAAATAGCAGGTATCTCCAAACTTAGACTTTGATTCATCTCTGAAATCAGACAAAATCTACCTTAGCAGAAAGTGGAATGAGCTCCCTCTGATGTAATCTTCTCTCACATCCCTTCTATTCCCTTGTTGAGAAAGGCACAGTCTCTTAATGGCACCAGCAGAGACAAAGCAGTGCTGGTCAGGAGCCTGGTTAGGACAGGGCTACTGATGAGCAACTTCTTCAGCAAAACTCCTCACAATAACCTTAAAAAACATCCTTATTTTTGAAGCAAAAAGAGTGTCATGTCCCTCCCTCTCATAAGTCACCTATTAGTGTGTGTTTATAGGTATGTTTGTTAGTGTTTATAAGAGAGAACTCACAAAGCAGGCCTCCTCCAACAGCCTGAAGCACAGTGAGGATAGGGAAGAAGTACAGTGCTGCATAAATGCTTTTAAATCGATCAGACTTTCCTAAACCACAGGCAATTTTCTTAACCAGAAGAGGCCGAAGTAGCATCATTAACACAAGACAGAAAGCGTAATATATAAACACAATGGTGTACCTAGGAGAAAAAAAAAAAAAAAGATAAATTCCTTAAAATGTGCAGTTCTATCCTGCAGACTCAACTCAGAATCAAGAAATTTCGGGATAGTCAGTGAAGTCCAAAGAATTTATAATCAAAGAGTATAAACACAGAATGATGCACTCACTTTTTCTAAGGGTAATGGTCCAGATGCAGAAAAGACAGAGGAAAAAAAAAGAGTCTTACGCTTCATAGCTAAACAGCCTGAACTACACTGCCTTCTTTGACAACTCAGAAAGTCACTAGGTGTTGCTGAGTCTTTCACACATAAACCAGCTCAATGCGTGAAAGACTTCTGGGGATTGATACTCTTTGGTCCCAGTTACACCTGAACACTTTTTGCCTCTTTGAGAAGAAGCACAAATAGAATCACACTTGTATAAAAGGGACACAAAAGAAAGGAGCACAAAAGCCTTTATGCTTACAGTGGATAGACTGCTTCGTGAGTGCAGTGCACTGTGGTGATGTAGTCAGGGCTTGGGTTGTAAAGCATCGTGTACCAGTCCGAAAGCTTCTTCACCTTGCAGGAGCGGATATGCACTGAGCCGACAGGGTCACTGACGAGCAGTGTAACAATTGCTGCAACGCTGCACTCGAACAAGGCAGTTACATGCTGCAACAGTGCGCGGGAACTGTGGAAGTAGAGAGAGAGATTTACTATCTTGCTAACACAACAGGAAACCTAAATGCTGACTGGAAAGTTGCTATGTACTATAGAACCTTCTACAGAGTTAATACTCACTGCGATCAAAGTTAGGACAACTCTGCTTGAATAAAAAGTATTTGAAGCTGACTGTGAAAACTCACAATCTCAGATGATTTAGCATGTAAAATACAACTGAACAACATTCCAGCCTCTTAAATGAAAGCCTGCTGTAGCAAAAGCATCCTGTCAGGTGAGGAACAGCACCACTCGGCTGCTGTGGTTTCAAAGAAAGCAACACTGAGGATAAGACACCACACATCTCAAAAGGGGTAACACCATCATATATGGTATCAGCAGACTTTCAAAGCTGCAGGTCCTTGTTAAAGATGGTATATAGTCATATATTAAGCTCTTCCAGTTTTTGGTGTTTAGTATGCCTCAGAGTCGTGATTTCTTAAAAGTTACAGTCTAGCACCTAATGGCTGCATGCAGCTATGGTTTTAAACCCCCTTTTCACAGAACCTCCCTGATACACCATGCTGATGTAAAAGTTACACCAGCTACACTACCAGGGCAAAAGCCCAGTATATATACTCCTACAGAGGAAAGTCAAACCCATTCTCTCAATGTGTGCAGCACTGCTGATCGGGGCCTCTGCAGGTGGTAGGTCTCGCCCAGGAGAGAGGAGCTCACACATTGCGCCACTGCAAAACGCAGTCCAGGCCAAACTGATAGACGGACCGAGTACCACCACACTGAAGAGATACAGACCATGCCCTGAGGGTGCTGACTGGTAAGAAGGACCCACGGGACTCTTGTGAATAATCCCCAGTCCAGATGCCCAAAGTTTATGTGCTACCGTATCAGCTCAACCAACAGCATGAGCTGCTGGGAAGCTCATTCAGCATCTCCAATCAATCATTTCTGGATACGAGATGTCCATTTTTAAATAACTCATCTGAAGAAGGGGTAAACAAACCTTTTTTTTCCTGAATACCATTCAATAAAGAACCAGTGTAAAACCAGGGGGAGCATGGCCATGAAGCCAAGGTATAACCAGTCATAGCGGTCTGGAGATCCCATACATTCCCGGCAGATTTTGTTGTCATCAGTTCTTTGACCTCTAGGACATACCTACAAAAAGCAGAGACTGTTTAGACAGCATCCAAGTACCAATAATGAATCATTGCAGTTCCTAGAAAAAACAGCTTGAACTAGTGCTGGGACAAGATACATACAGACTTCTAGAGATAAAATGTTAAACTTAGCTCATGCACCCACCGGGCCACTCACAACCACTGTCCACCTCGCCTCCACTTTCCTGCTCCCCTTTCATTGCACCCACCCCAGATCTTGCTCTCCCTCAGCACTGCAATATATCAGTAGGCAGAATGATTTCAGCACAGCTCTCCATTCCATTCCACCTCGTTCTGTTCCAGTTTTCACAGCCCCTCGGCTCAGCTCTGGTTTAGCACCTCCCTTCAGGGAACGTCTCATTGAGCAGCTCCTGCTTTCGGTAAGGAAGCTCTGCCTGTCCTCTCCAGCCCTCACTTCTCCCTGGTCCCCAAGGCACCTCGGGGCTGAGCTGTGGGCCGCGATGCTGCTCACAGCGGGATCCGCACCAGCCTCCCAGCACCAGTGGCTGGAGCGGTCCGGCCCGAGCAGCCACGGCCGGACGCCGCGCGGGAGGGAGCGGGGCCGCCCCTGCCCGCCAGACCTTACCTCGCCCGCTCCGAACTTACCCCGCAGTCCCCATAAGTCTCCACGGAGCCGTTGACTGACAGGACGGTCCTGCCGCAGTACAGCCCGAGGCAGGCGGGCTGGATGTCCACAGCTGCGGGGAGAGCGCAGCCCGCGTTACCACGGCGCCCTTACCTGGCCCAGAGCGCCTCACACCCCGCGGCTCCCCCGCAGCCGAGAGGAACGGAGCGCCATCCGTGGCACGCTCCAGCCGCCGACAACCCCGGCCCCAACCCCGGCCCCAACCCCGGCCCCAACCCCAACCACGGCCCCAACCCCGGCCCCGGCCCCGGCCCCGGCCCCGGCCCCGGCCCCAACCCCAACCCCGGCCCCCGTCCCGTCCTACCAGCACGGAACATCCCTACAACCCATCAGCCCCCACACCGCTACTTCCGCACAACACTTCCGCTTCCAAGGCGAGGACAAGCTCCGCCCCCGCAGCCGTGTGGGAGTGGTCAAGCGGGGGCGGGTGCTGCTCCGCCCCGGAGGCGTGGCCCGGGTCGTCCCCTCCCCGCGGGGGCGGTGGCGATGGCGGCGGCGGCGGAGGAGATGGTAGCGGTGGCGGAGAGCAGCGATGCCAGGACCGGTGCAGGACGGTGGCTGCCGCCGCACTCGCCCTCGGGCCTGGTGCTGCAGACGGTGGAGATGCACACGGGCGGCGAGCCGCTGCGCATCATCCCGCGGCTAGAGGCGGCAGAAGAGGCAGCGGCGGTGGAAGGACTATCGCTGCTGTCGCTGCGGAGGGAGGTGGCGGCCACACAGGACCACGTGCGGCGGGCGCTAATGCACGAGCCGCGGGGGCACGGCGGCATGTACGGCGCGGTGGTGGTGCGGGGAGCAGCTGACGCTGTCGACGCGCACCTGGCAGTCCTCTTCCTGCACGGCGCCGGCTACAGCGCTATGTGCGGCCACGCTGTCATCGCTCTTGGCCGCTTCGCCCTCGACTATGGGCTGGTGGCGGCACCCAGCTGCCCTGAGACCGCTGTCCACCTGCGCTGCCCCTGCGGGCCTGTCACTGCCTTTGTGCCCTGGGATGGTCACCGCAGTGGCAACCCTGTCCGCTTCCACAGTGTGCCAGCCTTTCCTGTCACCACAGGTGGGAACTGGACCTACTGCACTGGGGTGGGCAGGGGGGCTGGTGGTCTGGCTGAGGGGCATCTGGCAAATCCCTCCCCAGTTCTGACGTTCCTCAAAGGCCATCAGGGACAGCACAAGGTGTCAAGTGCTGCGCTCTGTCATGGGAGCATCCAAGTCATTGTCTCTGCCCCCCTTGCATATGACTGGGTTCCTCTACTCTGCATGCAAGCCAATGGCCCAGTACAGTTTCCCATCTTCAGAGCTCTCTCTTTCTCTTCCCAGACTTGGCCATCGACGTCCCCAGTTATGGGAAGGTGGTGGTCGACATTGGCTATGGTGGTACTTTCTATGCCTTCCTCAACGCTGAGCAGCTGGGCCTTGATGTGTGCTCTTCGAAGACCAGAGACCTTGTCAATGCGGCGACTGCAGTGACAGAAGCAGTGAAGAAACAGGTACAGTGGAGTGCTGTGGTATCCCAGCATGCTCCCTTTGGGTGACTGCACCAAATAGAGGCCCTGTATTCCCCTGAGATGCTCAGGATCAGAGGGAGTCCCATCCTTCTAGCCCTATGTTGAATTTTTAAGTTCTCCTCCAGCCTCACAAGGATGTGAGAAGGAGCTCACTTTCCTGCTGCTGTGTCTTTCTCTGTGCCTGGAGAAGCAGAGGTGGAAATGGAGCACTGTGGCCTTGTCCCCTTCCTCTGGTCTCTTGAGGAAGCTGTACTGCTAGCTGCCCAGCTTCAGCATGCATTGCTGAAGCTGTCTTTGCTGTTCCTAGTTCAAGCTTTATCACCCTGAAAGCGAAGACTTGGCTTTTCTCTACGGCACCATACTGACCGATGGGAAAGATGCCTTTAGTGAGGAGCCCACCACCAACATCTGTGTGTTTGCAGATGAACAGGTACAGGAACGGGCTCTTCTCAGACACACAAGACACCTTTATCCTTTCTTACATCCACTCCAGAGGACAGTTCTGCTGCTTCTTGCTTTGGGTAGTGATGATTGCTTCTGCAGCAGTTTTCCTCTGAAGAGCTGTCACTTAACACATGTTGGTTTAGTTCCTGATGACAGAAATACTTCTGCACATCTTAGATGGGGGCATTTTAAAAGGGTTTATATCTGTGTTCCATAGGTAGGAATTTCCCAGGAGTTCAGTGGCTGAGGTGGGGTCCCAACATAGTGCATGTCCTTAAAGTCCTCATCTAGGGAACAGCTGCTGGGGATGAAGAAAGCAAGAGAGAAAAGAAGGGGTGTAAACTTCTATCCTTGTCTGCAGTGGATAAGGCATCACATAAATAGCAGAGGAAGTTGTGATTGGACTGCTTAGCAGTGAGGAGTGTGGAGCATTGGGACAGATCACCTCGGAAGCTGGCCAATATTGTGGGTTTTGGAGGCTTTAAAATCCAGGCTGGCCAGCTGTGCCCTTAGTGTAAGGAGAACTGATCCTGCCTCGATGTGTAAGAATGGGATGATGCTGGGAAGCTTTCAGGTGCTCCCTAAGTAGCCTCAATATTTACCAGATCATTCATCCCTACAAGTTTGACAAAGCTGATCACAGCTCAGACATTCCCCCAAACCTGTTTATTTTGTTCTTTGTGATGTATCTGAATTCTGTACAAAACCCTAAGATAGAGGGGTCTCCCCCAAGTGCAGTATAGAGGTGGCCAAGAAACCCAAGGGGAGTGATACTGTTTTCTGTTAAACCCCAAAACAGTAGAGCTGGTTCACCTTCTCTTCTGAATGTAGGTTGACCGAAGTCCAACAGGATCGGGTGTGACAGCTCGCATCGCCTTGCAGTACCATAAGGGACTCATCCAGCTTAATCAGACCAGAACCTTTCGGAGCAGCACCACAGGATCCTTGTTCACAGGGAAGGCAGTGAAGGCAAGTGGCTTGTGCTGGACTTTCCCTCTGTCTAGAGGAGTGTTGGAAAAGTGCTGTGGCCTTGGCTCAGTGGAGAAGCCTTTCTGTGCCTGGGGAAGGGCATATGGAAGGAAGGAGGTGCCTGGGGGGTTTGTCTTACCACAATCTTTCAAGATCTTTAGTTATAGAAGCAAGGAATAGTAAGACTGTTCTGTTGCATGGCTTCCCTGCAAGCCCTCTCTTGGCTATCAGGAAAGGACTGGGGTGAGAAGTGCTTATGTAGATAAATTAGCCTGCTCCATTCTCAATGGCAGCTAAGGTTGGATTCCTAGTTTAGTCCCCTCTTCCCTGCCCAAAGGCTGACTGTGCTGTTCAGAGATGTAACATCCATGTTTCCAGGCCCAGCCTTGGCCCTGTGACATCTGGCAACATGTGGCCATGAAGGTCTGAACATGTCACAGGGAGATGTCTTTGGGTGCGAGTGGCTACTGGCTTGTTGCCCTCCTGTGGCAGTGCTGTGGCTCGTGAGCTCAGACCAGCGTCAGCAGCAGTTGTGTAGGTGTGGAGCTCGTGCAGGCAAGGTGAGGTGGTGGAAGAGCTGCTGCACACTTTGGGATGTACCTGGGCAGGGCAGCGTGCTCACTGAGGGGTGTCCACACAAGTGCCAGGTAGTGCTGGTGTTTCATGGGCTTGGGAGAGTGGAGAACCCCTCCATCACCTCTGTCCTGATCCCAATCCCTCTGCAGGAAGCCAAGTTGGGTGACTACAACGCTGTTGTTGTGGAAGTCTCAGGAGAAGCCTTTTACATCGGTACGACCACCTTCACTGTGGAAGAGGAGGACCCATTGAAACATGGCTTCTTCTTCAAGTGACCCGAGCCATGGCATGGTGGCAAAGCCTCACTGATGGTTCTGCACTTCTCCTGCCCATGCATTTCTGTTTTGCTTCTCCACACGGCTCATTGCAATATGCCAGAGCAACAGGAATAGCCCTTGGTGGTGTGACAGCATCTGCTATGTTTCAAGCTAACAGGCCATGTTCCCCTGTTGTGATTAGCATATTGGGTGCAGTGTGATTATCATATATGGGCTGCTCTGAGAACCCATCATATTTTTTTTCTCAATAATTATTTGCAGAAAATGTAGCTGATCTTGGAGATCTGTCTTCCAATTTATGTGCCTTCTCTGTAAATTACTAATTTCAAAGCCAGATTCCTATTAAATGCAGCTGAAAAACACTGCTTTTCTCCTCTTGTTTTCACTCCCGGAACTCATTTCCAGGGCTCTGCCGAGTGTGTCACAGCTGCTGATTTGAATTGCCTATTCTCCCTCGTGCCTCAGCTCAGCTGCCCATGCTGCTGTGACTCATACCCCAGCTTCCCCTGTCTGCCCACCTCAGGCTGTCCAAACACCTCACTGCACTCGCTTCACCCCTTCTAGAACCCTCCTACATCCAAGGTATTTCCTCAGAACCTTCTACAGTCTCTGCTGTGGGTCCCCTAAACCTTCCTCTCTTGCTTATCCTGGACCATTGGCTGAAAATACTCTGTGGCTTACTTTTAACAGGAGCAGCTGTATTAGAATCATAGAATCATAGAATAGTTAGGGTTGGAAAGGACCTTAAGATCATCTAGTTCCAACCCCTCTGCCATGGGCAGGGACACCTCACACTAAACCATATCACCCAAGGCCTCATCCAAAGGTCCGATCCATTATGACCCTTGATTGCTAATTATTTACTGGTGATATTGCCTCAGCCCTGTGGGGTAGCTTGTGCAGCAGTATGCAGTCCATACTTGCTTTGCTAGAGTTTCTTGAGGGAGGATTGACGGTGGGAAGACCAAAGCAAGCCCTGGGCTGTAGGCAAGCATTTGCAGTGGCGGAAGCAAAGCTTCAGAACACTTGTGGCCTGTAATTTCCACTGTGTCTCTAGGCAAAATGCTGTTTGTTTATTGAAGACACTCATGGGAGTGTTCTTTGTTAAAATGAGACATGAAAATGAGAATTCTCATCTCCTAGTAGCTCATGCAGCAGAAGGAAGCAAGTCATACTGGAGAGCTTGGAAAAGGCTGGCATGGAAAAGCCTGGGATTGATTTCTTATGTCAACATAGAAAATTATAACTTTGCCTGTGCTACCAACAGAGGGGTTTTAGGCTGGAAGCTGGAACTCTTCCTTCAGCTTTCTAATAACACCCTGATACATCACTTACAGGCTTTGGTCCCAGAAGCAAGAATTGACAGACACATCCTTCGTGCTTGCAGGAGCAAGCTCCTCTGTGTGTTTTTAGCTACTGGGCATCTCCCCTGCAATCAGCCCCCCAGCCTGGATCCCGGGGAAGAGGTGGGGCAGCAAGTCCTGAAGCCCAGCATAGAAAGGTTGGAAGCTCTTCACGTATTAGAACAGGCTGTCCAGGGAAGTGGTGGAATCACCATCCCTGGAAGTGTTCAGAAAACATGTAGGTGTGGCTCTTAGTTACACAGCTTAGTGTTGGACTTGGCAGTCCTGCCCTAAAGGTTGGACTTAATGATCTTAAAGGTCTTTTCCAACCTAGCTGATTCTGTGAATCTGTGATGAATTGGGTCACATCCCTCATTATGTATTCATGGTGATACTCCTAAGAAGTTTCCCCTGTAGGGGCAGCAACTCCAGCATGGTTGAGGGTGGTGGGACAGGGTCCTGCTTCCAGTGTGAGAGTCCCTGTCCTGACTCCTCAACCCCTCAGCTTGTGAGACTCCAACCTGGAGAGCAGAGCCGGCCTCCGCCAGAGTGCCTGGGGGTAGCTGATCCCTGCCCCTTCTTGATGGGCTGCAGGACGGTGCGGGAAAAGGGGCAGTAGGGGAGAGGGGCCATGAGGGAAGAGGGCTTTGAAAGGAAAGGGGCCATGTAAGACAAGGGGCTGTGGGAACCCGTCCCCGGCTCTGGGTTGGGGTGAGGCCGGTGTGGGGTGAGGGAGTCCCTGTGCCCAGGCTTCCCGCGCCCCGCTGCTCGGCTGCGGACACTCCGCTCCCCGCCCCCGGGGCCGCAGAGCGAGCCGGGCCGGGCTGGGCCGGTTCCCCGGGCAACGGCGGCCGCGCGACGTCAGCGGCTGGCGGGGCCGGCGGCCCGGCGCGGGCGGGGAGCGCCTCTGCAGCCGCGGCGCCGGCCGGGGCATGGGGCTGCGCATGGAACCGGCCCCGGCTGTGCCGGGAAACCTGTCCCGCGGCGGCGGCAACGAGAGCGGCGGGGCGGCGGAGGCGGGAGGGGAGGCCGGGTGGTCTGCGGCGGCGCTGGCCTCGCAGGCGCTGGCGCTGCTGCTCATCTTCGCCCTCTCGGCGCTGGGCAACGGGGCGGTGGTGCTGGTGATCGCCCGGCACCGGCAGCTCCGCACGGTCACCAACGCCTTCGTGCTGTCGCTGTCGCTGTCGGAGCTGCTGGGCGCCCTGCTCTGCCTGCCCCTGGCCTTCTTCAGCCTTCTCAGCCGCCCGCCCGGCGCCTGGCTCTTCGGGCAGCGCCTCTGCCTGGCCAGCGCCGCCCTGCACGCTGGGCTGGGCATCGCCGCCACTCTCACCATGGCTCTCCTCTCCTTCGACCGCTACTGCGCCATCGTCCGCCAGCCCCGGCACAAGATGGGCCGCCGCCGCGCCGCACAGCTGCTGGCTGCCGTCTGGCTGGCCGCCCTGGCCCTGGCAGGACCCTGGTACGGGCTGGCGGGCGAGGGGCAGCGGGAGGCCCGTCCCGGGGCCTATCACTGCGTCTACGTGCTTCCCTGGGGCTCATCCCGGCTGGGGCCACCCTACGGCGCAGCCCTCATTGTGCTCTGCTACCTCCTGCCCTTCGCCCTCATGTGCTTCTGCCACTACAACATCTGCCGCGCCGTGCGGCTGGCCGAGAGCCGCGTGCGGCCCCTCACCACATACGGGCACCTGCTGCGGGCCTACGGGGAGATGCGCACGGCCACCACTGTCCTCATCATGATCGTCTCCATCATCTGCTGCTGGGGGCCCTACTGCGTCCTGGGGCTGGCTGCGGCTGCTGGCCACCTGCCTTTCTCGCCCACCATGGATGCTGTAGCCAGCGGGATGGCCTGGGCCAACGGTGCCATCAACCCCCTCATCTATGCTGCCCGCAACCCCAACATCTCTGTGCTGCTGCGGCACAGCCGTGAGGGTGGCTACAGAACTAGGAACAACATGGCGGCCTACCTCTTGGTCCCGGGACGCCAGCCGGAGCCCTGGAGCAGGGCTGACCGTGTCCGGGAGCGCTACATCAATCAGCACAGCGGCCCCCCAGGCAGTGCCCCGTCTTCCTCCAGCCCAGTGAGCGGGGGAGAGATGGCCATGTGGGCCTGCAAGAATCCCGCTGTACTATTCTGCCGGGATGGGCAGCCAGACGCCATCTCGGAGGCCACCTTGCAGGCCAAAGTGGGCACTGTTGACACCAGCCTCTGAAGTGATGTGGGGCCAGGATGCAGGCGTTGGGCCTCAATGCCATCTCCCTGAAGAACTGTGGGGAGCCCCAGTGCTTGGAATCCTTTGCTGGCAGACTACCAGGAAATTGGAAATTGGAGCGATGGGACTGTGTGAGACGTTGTATGGTTTGTTCTTCATTGTGTGAGCTCTGGTTTGGCAGCTCAGTCTGCAAGCAGCGAGAACTCCACAGTGAAAAAAGTCCTCCTTCTGTTTCAGCAGACCTGATGCACTAGTGATGGCTGCCAAGCTGAGCCAGCACAAGAGCTTAACTGCAAGAACAAAACAGTGTTTGCTCCAGTCCTGCAGAAAATGCCATAGTGAAGCTAAGAGACAGGCATGCAAGTACAGCCCAAATGGACTGACTGTGTGAGCTGTTCGCTAAGTGCCAAAAAGCCATTGAAAACGGAGCACTGGCAGCTGGAAAACACTCTGAAAACACCACACTGTGAAAACCGCATCATGGCAGGAAAATGTTGTTTTAACCCATTTTATGTGGAAGTGGTGATAATCAGAAAGTCATAGGCTGTGGGACAGGGTAAAAAAGCGATGTATTATTGTTTTGGTTTTGTTTATTTTAAAACTCCAAAGCATAACAACAGTAACTGGTGTGAAAGGGAGGATGTATGACACTGGGAGAGAAGGAGAGGAAGATGAAACCTTAGTTGTCAAAATTTCAACAATCCTTTTTTTGTTGGAACAGTCAACTTAAAATGTTGTGAATACAAGAAATGAGAGTTCTTCAGACACTGAGAAAAAGGGTGTGGGTGTAGACTATGGTATCACTGAGTTTGTGCGCAGGGGGTGCACTTTCTTTTTGAGCTCATCTCCCATCTGTGGGAAGTGTCTCACATCTCTAAGAGTGATGTGAGAAGTGAGTATCTGAAAGGAGGTGTAAAGCAATTTCATGTGCTCTTTGTGTGCTCTTAAGAATATGAAAGTGTGTATATGCAGAGAGCAGATACTGTATTGATGGCAGCAACCCATCTGGAGTATAATATTTAAAATCCATTTTAGGAAAGGAAAATAATACAATGGAAGTGCAATTGTGGCATAAATTAATTTGAATTTATCAGTGTATTATTTTTGTCCAAAGGCCTAAAGCCTAAAATTAGTATTTCAAATCAGAAACTAAGATTGGGCTTTTTTTTTTTTTTTTGCCGTTAAATGTGAGAGGCAGGCAAGTGTTTTTCCTTGTACAGGCTTTAAAAATACAGTGTTACTGTTTTACTGGATTTTGCAACTGTTTGTGACCCAAGTGACCATATTATCATTGTTTTGTAAGTGAGACAAGAAATAAATTTGTCTTTTATGCAGGCGATGAAAGTGTCTCAGCCTGTATCATTCTCAGCTCAGACTTGAGAAAGAAACTTCTGTAAAATATTGGCAGATGAATGGTAGCAGAGAGAGACCTAATCACTTGTGAAATTTTAATGCAGCTCTTGTCCATGCTGTGAGCATTACTGTAATTTTCTTCTGGGAAGCTCATGAAGTCCAGGAGGAAAAAATTTGACCCTTGACAGCTGCTCAGCACTGATACTTTGCCCTGCAGGTCCCGGGTTTTGCAAGTTGGACAGTATATTCATACTGTTTCAGAGGGAAGCTGTACAAAAATACACAGCTTTTCACAGCAGCTGACAGCAGGTGAACACCAGTGACTTGTTAGAAGGGTAGGACAGGAATTTTTTTGCATACCTGCCCTTCCACAGCAAATTATGGCCAGTGTAAAGTGAAAGAGGTGGTTGTGAATAATGAGATTAGATTTAACTCTTATCTAGGTAGCTGGCAGGTGGTAACAAGGAGACTTGTGCAGGCTAATTTGCCAGAAAGAGCACTCTGGTGTTTAGACAGCTTCAAGAGCATTTGCCTGAGTTCCACTAGTCATTGACTCTTACCTATAGAAAACTTCAGCTATGATCCAGGAGGTAGCAAAGAAAACCCGTAGGGTTCTGCCTTCCCAGAAGGGTTATTGCTCCATGAGTTGTAGCAACAGTCCTTAGAATAAATTCCAGTGCTCTGTAATGCAGGGAAGACAGAAGCAAGGAAAACTGTCTAACTCAATACTCATAGCCTTGTGTAATTCAGACAGTGCGCAAAGACCACTTGTAGTTCATGTATCACCTGCAGAACAGCTGCACCCTAACTCTGATCCTCTGGCTGTGGTAGAGCTAGCATGTTGGTGTGTATTGCAGTATGAACTCTGTATGGAAAAGGATGTTGCTGTTTTTAGTCTGGCCCCTCTGCAGGTCTGAAGCAGAACCTGTACTTTAACCAGAAGTGATCATTTAGAGCCTCCCTGTCTTTAGCACCACAGAGACTTACAGGGTTCTTTTGCACTTTTTGCATGCAAGAAGAGCTCTATCTGCCAACTGGAACAAACTTGGTCAGAGTAGATGAACTAAGGTATAGTTAGTGGGTTAAGGAAATGAAGAAGATGAAGGCCCAGCACTGCTGTGCCTGGCTCGTGGCATGCCATCAAGTGCTATGGCTGCATTGGCTAAACATACTGGCTAACATGGCTAAAAGCCCATGAAAAGGGTGGTCCTGTTCCCCTCAGTGCTTGGCTCTGGCCAACTGCCCAGTCCCTTCTGTACATACCACCACAACTGACTGTCACTAGCCAGCTCAGGTACTAAACAACAGAAACCATTCATTCCCTCTTTTGCATGCTGGTTTTGTTTTTCTGGCAGTTCTGACAGGGGCAGGATTGGGAATGCCAGGGCTGAGGTCGACCATGAAGCATCATGGGAGTTGCATCAGGAGTGAACCAACACAGCTTTCTAGGAAGGTGGTAGTGAAGCTGGAACAACACAGATATTAACATATTTTTAACAAGGACTGACTGGTGCTCATAATTAATCTTGTATGTGAAGAGCTGAATGAGGGCAGCTGGCTGCAGTCATTGAGCCATCACAAAGCAGCACATTTCTGTTAAACACGAACTTGGGCTGTAGGAGGGGAGATTCTTGACCAGATTCTTTTTGACGTGGAGCTGCTGCAGCTCCAATAGAGAGCCAGCCTGTGTTTTAAAGCTCTGCTTGTTCTGTACTCCTCATAGTCATAGAATCATTCTGTGATTCTATGATTATAGGTTATAACGATTCCACAGAATCGTTTTGATTGGAAAAGACCTTCTAAGTCCAACCCTCAACCTGGCACTGCCAACCCCACCACTAAACCATGTTCCTAAGTGCTACATCTGCACATCTTTTTAATACCTCCAGAAATGTTGTCTCAACCACTTCCCTGGGTAGCCTGTTCCAATGCTTGACAACCCTTTTGGTGAAGAACCTTTTTCTAATATCCAATCTAAACCTCCCCTGGTGCAACTTGAGGCCACTTACTCTTTGTCCTGTCACTTGTTACTTGGGAGAAGGGATTAACCCCCACCTCATTATAATTTCATCTCTGGTAGTGGAGAGAGTGATACAATCTTCCCTCAGCTTCCTTTTCTCCAGGCAAAACAAACCCAGATCCCTCAGCCGCTCCTCATATCACAGCACTGTTGAACAAGTCAGGTAACATTGCAGGTCTACAGACTACACAGGTCTCTACACCCACATTTTAAAAGCTGTGTTTTAAAAAACACTGCCAAACAGTGAAGTGTCTTAAATCACAAACAGCAGAGAGAGAAACACACATACAAACACACATAAACCACACCAAAGGCTGCAGGCTGCCTGCTGAAATGGTACTTGGAATGCTGCTAGGTCCCAGCTGTGCTGAAGGTTGCTGCCTCTCACCAACAGTGCAGAGCAGGCGAGAAGGTCTTGGCCATGCTAGCAAACAAGCCGGTGTGTGAGTCTGTCCTCGTACCTGACAATACAGGTACAAGTGTCCATGGGTTCTTCCAGAAGGAGACCTGAGGTTTACCTCACTGTTTTACTGTAGCTCTGAAAACTCTGTCTATGGTTGCAGCGACTTTTTTCCAGGTAAGAAAATATCACAGGAAGCAGCTCCTGGCTAAGCCACTAATGGGGACATTAGCTCCACGTCTTTTAGATGCTCATGCTGCTGTGCCCCACTCAGTGAGCCTCTTTCTTTAAGCTGAAGGATAACTCAGAAGGCAGCAAGACACCAAGGTTTTAGACACTGCAAAAGTAGCTCTAAGGCTCCAACCCTCCAGCCATAGCTCTGCAAACTTTCCTTCTTCCTCCATTGACATGAGCCTGGATACAAGGCAAACCACAGTCTCATCTGGAAAGGGCTCTGCAAAGGATGTTGGGACATTGTGTTAGCAACCCAATTCAAAAATCTTGTCATTTATTCAGTGCAGGGTATTTGGCATGAGAGCAGTTCACATGATATGAAGATCAGATAGCAGTGACGTTAGTCAAACCAAATTAAAAATTAGTCCTTGGGCTCTTTAGTCCCTCGTTGACTTCCCAGCATACTTACCCGCAGTCTAAGAGTTCCATACTGTCTGGCAATGATACAACTGATGCATTGTATCTTAGAACAAAAACATCAAGTCTTGATGAGTGACAATCATTTTAGAAGGTACTGTTCCAGCTGGAGTCAGTGCTAGTTTTGCTGTTGATTTAATCATTATATTAATTCAAGTCATTATTTTCCACTCCCTACCTAGTCTCTGGATGAGGTCCTGGTTCAGAGCAAACGCTTTGTGCATAGCTTAAAACCTGCTAACAACTAGTAATTTATAAGTGACAGTGTGACAGGCTGTAATAGCTGACAGTAATCACCCGAACCAGAATATCTCATGTGAATGAGATTCCCCTTTCCTGCTTCTCTTTCAGCCCTGGTGTTGGTTTGTATGTCCAGTAGATGCCAGCAGAGATCTAAGCAGCCAGCACAGCTAACGATCCTAAGGCCTCCTTCTGTAATGAGACCTAGCAGTCAACTCACCACTGCTATATTTCAAGTTGCAAACAATGCAGTGCAAGCCCTAAGCATATCCCTTTGAAACCTAGTTTCAAGGATGGCAATTATTAAGCTCTACACATGCTGCTCTTTGGAAGGTTTTTTGTTGAGACTGAAACAAATAATTTGGAAAGCACATCAGGAAAGTGGCACTTTGTACTCTCTAGCTGGCTAGCATCTGTGCTGCATGGTCTCCAGAACTGCAAAAGCTCCAGCCCAGATGCTTGGTGAGATCAGTCCTGGTGCTAGCAGGGTGCTTAGTTCAGCAGCAGAGCTGTGTCCTCACTTTAGCTGCATTTGTATTTTTTATATGGTGACTCTTATTGTTAATAATAAATGGGTGCACCTCGAGAGCTGCTTGCAAAGAATTACAGAGCCACAAAGTAGTAACTAAGTGCCAGCAGAATAAAACGGCCCCAAATCCTGCAGGAGGAGTAACCTGCAATGTAATCTTGGCTCGAGTGTCTCCATGCCCAGCAACACTGTGCTGCTTTGCTGCTGCAAGCCCTGAGCTTGCCAGGACATGTGGGGTAAGTCCCATTGGGTTCACTGGGGCTGGATGTGTGCACTATCCATACCATGGCCAGCCCTCTTACTGGTCCCAATTTGCAAAAGAACAATGGGTGCTTAATCCCATGCTGCTGGTAGAACACTGCTTGGGGCTTGAAGCATCTACAGTCACACCAGGTGAAGTACTTGGGGAACAGTTCTGTGTTTCTAGATACTTTTTTTTTCCTAGGAAATCACCACTGTGAGAAGGAGGAAAAGCAACATGGAGAGGCAGACTGTAAATCCCTCTCAGTGGCATAAAATGGATGAGTCACTGGGGAAATCAAAGTGAAAGTTGCTGGAACCCCAAGGAGCAACACCAGGACCTGCATTAGTCTCGCTGGGGAGTGATGGATGATCTGCTTGGCCAAGACGATCCCAGGAGGCTGTGGCTGAATCCAGAGGAGATTAAGTGAGCGGGGCTCAAAGGCAAAGGGAATGCCAACACAACTTGATATGTGCTGAGGGTCAGATCCTGCGTGGGATTCACTTGCAAAGTATCCCTCCTCACAAGGAAGCTCTGCCAGAAGGAAGGCAGGTGGTGACATCCTCCAACATTTCTGTCCTAGGGATCTGGAGCTGCCAGCACTGTCCAAGCAGGTCCTGGGCCAGGCTGGTGTGTCTGTATGAGCCCTGCCCTGCTCCTGTCCCCATTACTGCTGGCATCACCACTCTGCTCAGCTCCACACATCTCAGGAGTGGGGTTTCAGCTGAGCTTTAAGCCCAGGCTCTTCTAGCACAGTCTGTAATAGCCACAGCCGAAGAATAATCCATGTATTTTTTGCAGAGACATTGTGCTCATCTCGCCACCCCAACTGGAGGGGCCCTGCTGGTGCTTGCTACTCAGGCAGCAGTCAAGCCCTGGAGCCTTGTT